CATGCATGTCAAACTGGCCTCTGGCCCATTCATTCATATCAAACTGGCCTCTGGCCCATTCATTGATGTCAAACTGGCCTTTGGCCCATTCATTGATGTCAAACTGGCCTTTGGCCCATTCATGCATGTCAAACTGGCCTTTTAGGCCTTTCAAACTTTCATATCAAACTGGCATTTAAGCCTTTTAGACTTTCATTTCAAACTTTGTCCACCATTCAACATTAATGAACTTTACAAAACTTACGTAGAAGTAAGTAATTGGACAATAACATATTTCAGATATTACTCACAGTGATCGGCTTGTAGATTTGTCCTGGAGCTTGACCCTACACATCACATAACACATGTGGGTCACAAATGATTCAATCCGTTCTTTAATTCACATATTCCTCTTTAGGCTTCATTCTTATCTCTTTAACTCAATTACAATGCTCAATGTATGCCTAAGAGTGCTTACAAGTGAGAGAAAACGAAAAACGGAACACAGAATGCATTTTCAAAATTTCAAAAAACAGGGTCCCCGCTCGAGCGGACCCAAGAGGTCTGCAAAAGTACTGGTTGCAACAAATTCACGCTCGAGCGTGAACTCAGGCACTCGAGTGGAAGGTCTGTCTACATAGCTCCCAGTTTGAGCGTGAACTTCCCCGCTCGAGCGGACCCATGCCTGCAAAAAAAAAATACTGGGAGCATGAATTCCCCTCTCGAGCGTCGATTCCTCCGCTCGAGCGGACATCATAAATTCTGAGTTTTCCATAATGGTTTCTTGAGTTCAATTTTGACATTTCAACCACATTTCTTGCATATTATGGTTCCAACTTCAAATATATTTATGCTATCATGATACAAACACCCATTTACATCAATATGGAGCTCAATTTCATAAATCAAACACATGCATGTCCCAATTGACACCAAACTCATTCCCAACATGCAAATTCATGCAATCAAGGCTCTTATAATTTGTACATGCATGTGATGTATCACTCTTATTCTCAACTTAGATGATGCAAATGGTGTTCATTCTCATGAAACTCAACAAAAACATGTTTGCATGTACGATTTAACACTCATATTTCCATATTCAACTTAATACATGCTTGATTATGCAAAATCATGGTGATCCTATACATGCATGTGCATTTCAACTTCAAATTCATCAATTAGAGCACAACTCTTGCTCTTGATCACCAATTAATCTTTAATTCACAAAATCACAAGTTCAAACTCATGAATTCATAATCAATCACTTACCTAGAAGCTCAATCTTTCCGATTTATGGTTAATTCTTGAGCTAGGCTTCAAATTTCCAAGCCTTCAAGATCAAATCTTCAATCTCCTATACTCTCTCTCTCTCTAACTGACCCTATCTTCTTTCTCTCAAGGCACAAAATCTGATTTTGAGTCCAAGTCCCTCAATTAAGTGCATAGTGACTCTTTACATAAATTCCCACTAGCATCAATTTAATAATAACAAATAATAAGGCATTAATTCACCAATTTAATCGACTTGATCTGGTCCGAAACAATTTTTCAATTAAACTTCATCGTAGGTTCTAAAAATTACGCTAATCACAATATCGTAGTCAATTTCGAGTTCTGTGGCCGATAAGGCCTTCAATTTAATTTCCAAAACAGATAATCAAACAGATATTCCTATGGTGAATAGATAGAAATTCAAAACCACATGTTTTCACATAAAAGCACACCAAATAATATTAAACACATATTCATACTCGCATTAAGGACCAATTAACATAATACAGAACAGGGGTCTTACACCACGGGTTGATTTGATCCATAGTTTTAAATTTGTAATTTCCTTTCAAGACCACCCCACCCCACCATAGTTAATACATATATTTCTTTTACCTCCAATATTACCTCCAATGAAATATCAAAAGAAAAATAAGTGTGCGAGATATCTAATATGTGAAATTTGTTATAAATTAGTGTTTATATATGTGAAAAGTATTATGTAAAATCAGTTACTCCCTCCGTCCCAAAATAATGGTCCCTTTTAGGGAATTCAACTTTTTTTTGGTAGTACAATTATTGTATTTGAAAAAAGTTAATTTTTCAAAATTACCCTTTTGATAGTACATTTTTTGGGAATATCAATGTCATAATTGTACTTTTTACATTGTTTATTAATTTAAAAGATGGGCAAAATAGGAAATTTACATTATTTTTGTACTTGATTTTTGAAAAGGGACTAATATTTTGGGACAATAAAAAATGGAATAAGAGACTAATATTTTGGGACGGAGGGAGTAGTTTATATATATGAAAAATATTATGCAAATTAGTATTATATTATATAGATGTTTGATAATAGTTAAAATTACTCTTCAATCAACTAACAAGTTAAAACCGTCCAAACAACAGTTTAATTACGAATAATAAAATTTTCAATCTGCTATCCATGATTTTGTTATATTTTATTCTCAAATCGCACTGCACACATCTTTAACTAAGGATGCATAAAATACCCAATAAACCAAAGAACTTAACCAATCCAACCCCTTTGGACTGGGTTAGTTTGGCTTTGAGTACATTGGTTCGATTATAGATTTTCAAATCATCAACCCGATAAGTTTTGGTTGATTTGGTAAGAATCAACTCAAGAACCGAACCTATATATATATATATATATATGTATATCTTATAAAATTCTATTTATGTTGACAATGCCTTATCTAATTGGATTATTATAATGGACTTGATTTCATATCAGCCAAATGAAAGTTAATGAAGTATTGAAAGGTTGAATTGGATTTTACAGTAGATGATTTTATTTTTTTTACTATATTACTCGATTTAATTTGTATTTGTTGTGTTTAAACTTTAGTTGAACGTTATATATTATTCATAGTTATTGGTTTCCATTAAATAATACATTATATTTTATTCGTGTTATGTTTAAACTCAAGCCTACCCAAGTTACAATTGGTTGTATTGATTTATTCTAGTCCATAATTGGTTTAGTCTTGCTTTCAAAGATTTAGCACCAATCATAATTAGACTAGTTCTAAATTTAGCCCAAACCAATTTAATCCACGCAACCCCTTACCTTTTAACTACCACTCATCTCTTATCACTACCGATCAGCATGGTCGCTTCCACCTCTAGCCGTCATCATTGGTAACTTTATTTGGTTATTGTTAGTGGTAACTTTCTCCAACCACTTTTTAGTGGATAACAATACATCTGATTATTGTCGATCACTTTTTACTGACCGCAATAATCTCTTATAAAAATCATTTTTTGATTACTAGTTCACACTGTCAACAATTCATTTTTATTGTCACTTTCTTGTTTTCTATTTATACAAAATGACAAACGAAAAAATTGATTGAATGAAACAAAAATATAAATTATAAAATCATTATCAAATGAGCCAAAATATTAAAATTATTTCACTTAAAATGGTTAATGACATTATTAATTTTTTGCCGATAAATTTAAATTTGCACTTAATTATTATACTTATGTCATTTCACTATTAATTTTAATAATTAACACTTTAAACTATTTATTTATTTATTTTTGCAAAAAAAGTTAAAAAAAACTTTATGTGGCTTTATGAAATTGATTTTTGATCTCACTATTCATCAACTTTCCTTTATTTGTTTTGTTTTTTGAGTTGTAGTGATTTTTTTTAAAAATATTTTAGTCAAAATTAGATTTTTTTAATTCACCTAAATTACAATCATTAAAAAGTAAAATGTTTGTGAAAAAAAAAAAGTTAACTAAAACAAAAAAATACAAAAAATGTATTCATTTATTTATTTATTTTGTCTTTTATGATTTTTTTTCTTTATTTTTTTTTATAAATATTTTACTTTTGGGTAAATTACAAACACATACATTGAAATTTATTTAAAATATGAATTGTCGAATATAGTTCTAAATATTACAAATATCCCATAGTTATAATTTTTTATTTAAAAAAAATTGAAAGATTTATTTATTTATTTATAGCTACTCTCATATACAATAGTAAAATCATCAAAATTATTAATTAAAATATATTTTTGACATCATTAAAAACTGTTAATTGACTTAATGATTTATTAATAAAATGGATTGTTTTTTATGTCATTATAAATTTGAAAGAACGAACTGCAATTTTTAAATTATAAGAAACAATTTATATTTTAAACAAATTTAAGGGAGTGTATTTGTAATTGGGTTTGGTTTATCTAAAATTGTTATATCAACTTGAGAGAGTATATGGGCTTGGTAGACCCATTTTGAAATCAATTTAGGTGATCTAAATTGTTCACTTTTTTGGACTTGCTGAGTAAAATATTCATGTAAAAAATTAAAATGATTAGATATCAGTAGCTATATTGACAAATGTAATTTAAATAAATGGACGACAAATGTAATTTCAAGAATAATCATCTATTTTTTGTAATATAAATTTGATTCAAATATATAGTTACCGATGTCTAATCATTTTGACTTTTTGCATTAATATTTTACTTAATGATTCTTAAAAAGTGAAAGATTTAGACTATTAAAACAAGACATGTAAGGAGCTCTATGGACCCTTCAAGTTCTCTCACGTTGAGATGTTAACATGAGAGAAGCACGACACTTTGTAATTTAACCTTTACTTTTGAAGTGCATTAGATAGATGTTTGGGACACTAAGGGGTTGTTTGGGATGACCTAAATAAGTACACTTTTTGTCTTTTTACGAAAAGATGTGTAGAAAAGTAGAGAGGTAATGTGATAGAAAAAAGATAAAAAGATGAATTATTTTGATGTTGCCAAACTTGACCTAATATTTTGGTTAAAATAATTAAAAAATCAAAATACCTAATTACATTACGCTTTATTTTTTTTATAGTCTTTTTGCAAAAAAATAAGAAGTGAACTAAAATAGTCGCATCCCAGACCAACCCAAGGGAAAAAAAAAGAAAAAAAGAAAAAAAAAGGGAAGAATAAATATGGGGGCCAAATTGAAATTTTATAAAATGCATTGGGACCGAATTGCAAAAAAAAAACACTTACAGTCCATGTCTCCCCAGTTGCACTTCCGATTCTGGGATCCACAATCCCATTCCCTCAACACCATTCTGTTGATTGTGCAAAACCTCAACTGATTAGTGAACGACGGCGATCTCACGGCGATCTTCGGTCTCCGGTGAGTGCTCTCTCTCTGTCTCTCTCCGCGACGACAAACTAATTTGCAATCCATGAGATTTTATGAATCATCTCTTCAATTTACAAATGGATCTAATTCAATGTATGTATATGCATATGTTATATTTGTGTATTTATGTGGTTGAATTCAGTTTCTTACATAATACTCAATTGAATATTTCAAAATTTACGCATCAATTTCAAATAAGCTTGATTTTTCATTAATTTTCTGACTTGTTACATATTTGTAATTCTGTACAAATTGGGTTTAGGGCTTGAATTGGGTTTAGGGTTTGGGTTTGTATTCTGTTTGTTAGAGGGCTATGGGCTATGGGTTGATTCATAATTTCACTAAAATCATTTTCTTAACTCTTGCTTCCAAGTTTGGTTTAATAGAGCTGAGATTTGAAGAGTTCTTTATTTCTTGCACATTTTGGATTGTCTATTTTGGGTTTGAAGTAAGGTATTGAAAGGTCTTGAGATATTTTGAGTTTTCACTTTTAGATTTGGTGAAGTTGAGGCAAACAATTGGGGACCTGTATATAGAAATAATTATTTTCTACTAAAATTCATTTCTTGATGGGTTTGTTCATAATGTTCATATGAAGGTTGTGTGTTTAGAAATCAATGACATCATTGGATATGGTATTGTGGAAGAGAGTAGAAGAACAAATATATTTACAAAGGATTGAGGACAAAATGGAAAGCATTGCGGGAGAACTATATGAAGAAATAGCTATTTTTTAAAAAAAAAAAAAAAAATTGTACTTTTTAACTAGTTCTTTTAGCTAAAACTGCTGGAGATGGGTTTGGTTTTCTCTGTTGCTTTTCCCTTGCTAGAGATCTGATTGCATAAAAAAAAAAATTCAGAGACCGGAGAGAGAGAGAGACAGAGACAGATCGGATTGCCTAAAAAAAAAAAAGATCGGGGAGAGAGACAGAGACAGATCTGTTTTCCTAAAAAAAAGAAAAATCAGGGATCCGAGAGAGAGAGAGTCGTCACGGGGAAAGAGCTGGAGAGCGATGGGTTTGGTTTTCTCTGTTGCAAGTGAAATATGAATGTCCTGCTTCTTTGTTTGTTTGTTTTGTTTTTGTTTGTTTGTTTTTTTTCCCTTGTGTGTTTTATGCACTTAGAGGGGATTCACCAAAGTTATCGTCGAAACGGATGTGGAGAAAGTAGCCCAATTGCTAAAGGAAGGCCCAGGTGACAACTTCCCATTCCGGGGACTAGTGGAGGATGCAAGAATCATTCTGAGAGGATGCGAGTGTGAAGTTAATCATGTCATGCGGGAAGGAAATACTTGTGTTGATGCGTTGGCGAAGCCAGGGGCAGAATAACATTAAGATTTACTAGTAGTTAACAAGCCTCTGGCTGAGATTCGCAGCCACTTGGTTGTAGATATGCTAGGTGTTGGAAGGGTGAGGGAGTAGCCCACCTTCCCTGTTTTTTCTTTCTGATGTACCGAAAAAAAATATGAATGTGCTTTTTGACATTCTCAAAAGACACTTCAGTTGGGGACTTTTGGGGACCCTAATTTGGGGGATGCAGCGGGACTGTTTTTATATTTTAAGTTTTTTTTAATGATTTCTATATATCTTAATATGTTTTCAGTAAGTTTTAGTATATAATGTTGGTAATTATGTATGGAAGCAAACTTTGTGTGGGTAATAGGCTAATAGCAAATAAAAAAAATTGTAGGTATTTATCATTTCATCCACAATTTTTTTTTGGTGTGATCATGTATATAGGGAGTCATTCTAGGAGTTTGCCTAGTCCCCCAAAGAACTCAGGGCCGGCCCTGTGTGCGGATCTGTATCTTTCTCTGTGCATAGGTCCAGAAGGTTCATTTCAGCATTCAGATGGCAATCATGGATTCAGAAGTTCCCACAGATGAGACGGAAACTGTTGCTGGTTTCATCCCACTTGCTTCCGTCTCCCAACAACCTTATGTTTCTGAACTGCTCTCGTTCACTCTCGATCGTCTGCATAAGGTCTTTGCATCTCTTCTTACACATACATCTGTACACACACACACACACATATATATATGTAATACACTTATCTGTTTGTTTTTGTAATAAATATTTACAGGAGCCAGAGCTTCTACGGGTTGATGCAGAGAGAATTCGGCGGCAAATGCAAGAAGTGGCAGTTGGAAACTACCGTGCATTCATTTCAGCCGCAGATGCATTGCTTGAGATTCGAGAGGAGGTTTCTTCTATCGACAACCATCTCGAATCCCTGGTAATTTTACACATCTTGGTAAAATTGGGCCGTTTCTTTGGTTTAATTTCGAATGCAGCATAATTGTCTTTTTAGTGGAGTTCAAGAAAGGCTTAAAATGTAAGAATTTAGAAATCTGCTTAATACCCATTTCAGCAATTTGATTGTGTTGCTTCCGATACCAGTTTTTTTACAAGGCTTATTGTTGTTAAACAATATAGGTTGTTTTGATTTTATGAACTGCATTAGTATGCATTGGCTGACTAATACGTAATTCAGCAATGCAGTTGCTTTGCTTTCCATACCACTTTTTGCTTGGCTTATTGTTTGTATACACATGAGTGTGCATTGTGACAATAAAGTTTAATAACCAATTAGTGTGAGAATATGTGAAGGATAAAACTAGTGTTTTCTGCTGGCCTAATACACTACGGTCCAATACATCTGTTTCCATTTCTTTTAATCCATTGACATTTCAGTCTCCACCACATCAACCCCACCCCCCATAATAAATAAATACTCCCTCCGTCCCATTTTGTTGGTCCACTATTCCATTTTGGGATGTCCCAAAATGATAGTCCTATTTGAAAAGTTAAAGTAAAAAACATTTGATTTTCCAAAACTACTGCTTTTGAGTAATGATAAATATATTAAAATTTTGAAAAGAGGGGCATTAGTGGAAAAAAAAATATTAAATTTAAATTTAAGTGCAATGATTGCATGCCCCCTTAAAAAGTTGGAATCCCCAAAAGGGGCCGACAAATTGGGATGGTGGGAGTAAATAAATAAAAACACACACACAGCAAAAGGATCTGTTAATGTAATCTGAGGAGATGGTGAATATAGATATGCTATGTTGGTGATTATCTCTAGAGGCAGTAAATTTTCATCCTTGGATGAAACTAGTTATTTTTGCTTCTTGTGATTTTATTTTTTATCCTCTGAGAACTATTGACGGCTGTCAGAACCTTGAAAGAGGAACCGATATTGATTCTAGATCAGAGTTGTTAGATATTGGAAGGCAACCCAACAAGCCTTCCAAATTGGCTTCTAGAGACTAACCTCACCAATTACTCCTATTGGCACATTCCACCCATCCTCAAATTAATCTATTGCCATACAGTGCCTTACAATTTCCAACTTTCATATGCTTCTGAGTTGTTTACTATTTGCATGAATTTCAGCAGTGATGTGAACGAACTGATTTATGGATCTTCTTAGTTTTTTTTTTTTTTGGTAATCAGCTTCTAAATAGATAGAAAATAATAAATATAGGTCATGTTTTATACCATGTAAGTGAGCATTAAGGATTTAATGAACGCATGTATATTGATAGTTAGCTTTCTTTTGTTTCAGATAGCTGAAATTCCAAAGCTAACAACTGGCTGCACTGAGTTCATTGACTCTGCAGAGCAGATTTTGGAGAAGAGGAAGATGAACCAAACATTACTAGCCAATCATAGTACTTTGCTTGACTTGCTTGAAATTCCTCAGCTTATGGACACGTATGTACTTTGTTGTCATTACCATCTGTTTATTTGTATATTTACTTTGGAAGTCCATGCTGTATATATTTTGTATTTTGGATGTGTTTCTTAATATAGAAAGAACACTTGACTGTCATCTCCCTGCAGATGTGTGAGAAATGGAAATTACGATGAAGCTTTGGATTTAGAAGCCTTTGTTTGCAAACTTTCAACAATGCATCCAAAGTTAGTTTTACTCATCTTATTTTGCTGTTTAGGCTAAAGGCAGCTTACTGAGATTTTCTTTTTTTTTTTTTTTCATTTTGCTCCCCCTTCCTATCTTGTTTGCCTTCAAGGTTGCCTGTTATTCAAGCACTTGCTGCGGAAGTTAAGCAGACCACCCAATCTCTTCTTTCTCAGCTTCTCCAAAAACTGCAATCAAACATTCAGGTACTTAGGCCAAATCTTATGAAATAATATGCTGATGATGTGCACCTGGTTTGACACGATTCTTCTAGAACTATGATTTCTGAAGTTTCATTTATTTATTTTGCATAAACCCTTATGTATTGCAGTTGCCAGAATGTCTCCGCATTATTGGATATTTACGTCGAATAGGAGTGTTTAGCGAATATGAAATGCGCCTACAGGTGAAGTTTATGAAAGCTGTCTAAATCAGTATTTGGTTTATGTGCATTTTAATCTTCCTTGTGCTTTTTGTTTCTGGTTGATATGTTTATCTGTTTCAAATGTTACCTGTTTCTGACCTGGATTCTTTTTGTGGTACAGTTTTTAAGATGCCGAGAGGCATGGCTTACTGGAATTCTTGATGACTTAGACCAAAGAAATGCTTATGATTACTTAAAAGGGATGGTGAACTGTCATAGAATGCATCTTTTTGATGTTGTTAACCAATACCGAGCCATATTTGCTGATGATACGTCAGGAAGTGAGGAAAACTATGATGGTGGGCTTCTCTTTAGCTGGGCTATGCACCAAATTACCTCTCACCTTAAGACACTCAAGGTCATGCTCCCCAAAATAACTGAAGGCGGGTCCTTGTCGAATATCCTGGATCAATGCATGGTAAGAAATTAAGGATTTACTACTATGTTGTTTTATAATTCCATGTCTTCAGCATTTTTTTATTTTTTTTATGCAAGTTCATAAAATATACGTTGCTTGTCTTTTAGTATTTTCCCCTCAATTATGTCATTGTCATTTTTAACTTTTTAGTTAAAGCCCCTGAATTTTATTTTATTTTTTTAAAAAAGGATCATTTGAAAAGGTCCACTAAAAGCCAAGAAAATTTTGTTTTGTTTTCTTTTATGTTTTTTGTCTTTAGGCCCCGTTTGTTTTGAGAGATAGAATGGAGGGGATTGATAGTGAGGGGATTAATAGTGAGGGGATTGATAGTGAGGGGATTAATAGTGAGGAATTGTTAAATTATTTTTATATAAAATAATAAAACAAATAAAAAAATATAAAAAAATAAACATTATATTTAAAAAAAAATTCCCAATATATAAAAAATAAAAAAATTTCTAATCCCCTCACTATTTTTCTAATACCATCTCTACCTCCTCCTCACCAATCCCCCTTCCTCCTCCTTACTAATACCAAGGGATTACTAGTCCCTTCCCTATCTCTCAAAACAAACACTCCATTCTCAATCCCCTCCTCACTATCAAACCCAATCCCCTCCCCATAACCCTAAACAAACGGGGCCTAGAGGACTTTCTACAAATTTGATTTTAGAAAAAAAAAAAAACAATTTGTTTAGGAGCTTCTAGTCTAGAAGCCCCTAAAGAGTAAAATGTTTTGACAAATAATCGAAAAGGTTCATTAAAAAAAAAAACACCCCCAGATCAAGAGTTCCTTTTCATTTGAAAAGACGTCCGTGGACACACTTCACAAGCTTACATGTTAGTGCAAGAGTTAGCAATTTGATTTTAATATGTTTCATGTTTTACAAGCACAATTTCTGATTGCACCTTTTCAAAAAAGTGAATGAAGTAATGGCAGATGGACAAATAATTGTGGGGATTTATTGGAATGTATATACGAGGAAAACATGATATTGGTATCATTTTAAGATGGATGGATATGCATAAATTAAACTATAAAGAAGTACACCCAGTTTGGTCCCCATTAATGGGGTTTTTGGGAGGGGTAGTTTGGGTACAAACCTTGGCATTATTTGCGCCTAGTGGTTACCCTCAGGTACTCACAACTTTAGCATTAACAACCAGAGTTTTAATAATTTAACCAGTGGCCCGTTTAAATTTTAAATGTTGTTTTAATACAACATTCGTAATTTATTTACATATAATATATTTCCTTTCCTTAGTCTAAAGAGAAAAAGTGAGAAGTGATGCTAATGGCAGATTTATGATGGTTTGCCCTTTTTCTTTTGAGAAGTGAAGTGATGCTAATAGGAATATATTTACTTGGAAGCTAGTTTGGGGAAGGAAGTGGAAACAATTTTGATGCTGATGACTAAATAAACACAAATTGACATGATTGGTTGGCTATAATCAATGTTATTACGGTTGGATAGCTATTCTGTCTTTTTATAGATATGCCTCAGACTGCCGAAGTGTGTTTGCCCAAAAGCTGAGGACTCTGCTACTCAAAGTTGGACCTTGTCTGGCTGTAGCTTCTTTTTGCTTTCTTTATTTTATCCTGTCTATCGTTGTAGGAGTATTACTCATTGCATTGCATGCTGAATCTACTGATAACATTCTCTCTTGTTTGCTTGACAGTATTGTGCCATGGGGCTTGGTTGGGTTGGATTGGATTTCCGGGGCTTGCTTCCCTCACTTTTTGAAGAGTAATACATATTTAATTTATCTTTATGATGTTTTTAATCTTATGGTCTATGAAGCATGGAAACTTTTACGATGGAGATGTGTCCATATTAGATACTGATACTTCTTAGATAGTCACAGATATTTATCTGATACTTCCCAAATGCATCCACAATTAGAATTTTCTTTTAAAAAAGAAGTATTGGATACATTCTGGATACCACCTATCTTGAATTTAAGAGGTGGCATTTCTTGTGTAGCATAAAAGCATAATAATTTCCAGTACTTTGCATACTCCTTAAAATATAAAAATTGGGAAATAGTGCAATTAAAATTTGTCAAATTTGGTCCAACTTCATGTCCACAAAACATAGGTTTAATATTTTTTATGCGAATAAAAAAAGGGCAACCTAGTGCATTAGGTTCCTGCTAAAGTGGCGTCTGGGGAGAACAACCTTACCCCAGTTTTGGAGATGCTGTTTCCATTACTCAAACTTGCGCCACTAGGGACACTAACAGTTAAGGAGCAAAATTTCGTTTTTTTGGGAAACCGTAACAAGGCAGTTGTGGACAAGGTTTTAAAAAACGGCCGCAATCGTAATGTAACGCCGTTACGTAACGGTTGTGGTAGTTACCGCCACCCGTTATGGGCACTTTTGCAGTGTGATTGAGATTCACAGGTGTATCAGCCGTAATGGCTGCTATAGCGGTTGTAACGGCCGTAACGGCCTGTTACGCACCGTTACGTAACGGTTCCGAATTGCTTCTTTCGAAAAAAACACAAAAAAACACAAAAAAAAAAAAATGAAGTTGAAAATGGGGGAAGAGAGATAGAGAGAGAAGAGGGAAGATGGAAGAACAAGAGATAGAGAAAGAGAATAGGGAAGATGAAGAACATGTTATTGATTTGTTGAAATTGTAAGACCTACGCTATTCTATTCAGCTGCTATCACTCAACTATTTTGTTTGTGTGTGTCTATTTATATATTATTTGAAAATAATAATAATAATAATAATAATAATAATAATAATAATAATAATAATAAGTGTGGTCATTATCTATTTGGCTTGATTAATATATATTTATATATATTTAGGCTTTTATTTATTATTTTACTTTTGTTATTGTTTATCTTATATATAATAGTTAGTGATTGATTTTTTGTATAATATAAAGTCATTAATTATTAAAATAAAATGTAAAAAACTTAGTTTATAGTGATTTAAAAATATGAAATATATTGGATCAAACTTAAAAATTTATAAAAATTGATCAATATTTATCTTAAAACCCAATAAATATGATCATGGAAAAAAATGTGCATATTGGTAAGTTTTTTTCAAATTGTGTGAAAAATACAAAAATTCACGGTTCCGGATACCGCAACCGTTACGCTACGGCCTTTACACCCCATAACCGCAACCGCGCCACCGCCACCGTTACGGCAACCGCAACCGCTTTTCAGAACCTTGGTTGTGGAGTACCAAAACTCTAATGTTTCCACTGAACCACATAGAAATGCACCATAATACTATGAAACATACCGAAATAACAAGCAGTTTCTACATCTGTTAGGAATATCCGACAATAGTAATTTCCATTGGCCTTTATTTTGTCGAAAGAAATGATTTGAGAACAACAAAATCTTATATTCATTAGAAACTATAAGAAACTAGAAAGTAGAATGAGAGAGAGAGAGAGAGAGAGGTTATGTGTAAACAAGATAGTCAGTATGATAGACCACAAGGTGTAAAAGGGATGAGTACCCCTCTAGACTGCAAAGACCTAGAAGAAATGAAAGAAATTAGTATAGTATGCGAGGAACTTTCTTGGCAGAGTTAGTGAGCCGTGTAATAGGCTACCATTTTATGCTTCTTTCCAACCGTACCCCCTCCCCAAGGCTCCAACTGTGAAGAACACCCTCTACGCTACCTTGTTGCACCCAAACGATGCCAAACACATAAAAGATCAATACCTAAAGCTGGTATGCCATAGAGCAATGAGGAAGAAGATGAGTAACCAATTCTGCATTCCCATGGCACAAGCAAAATGTATTTTCTTTTTTATATATGTTTTAGTTCAATTTCCAAACATTTTTATATGCTTCCAATTTATTTAGTAATTTTTCTTATGTATTCGAAATATTTCTGAAACTTGTCCTAAATGTTTCTGTTTTCAAGCTAACTGAAACAACATACCTAAACAAAAATTTGATCCTTCAGCAAGCTTTACTGTTGAGAATATTTGATAGATAATTAAAGACAAATAGTTTGTTACCAAAAAAATAAATAAAAATTATATAGATGCATACATACATACATACATACATACATACATACAGGATTTAAATATACACATATATCACCATATACTTAAACGTATCCATATCCTATACTTATTTACAATTTTTTGTATCCTGTATTTGTATCCATGCTTCATAGCTTCTGGTGAATTCCTGCTGTAAATAATCTTGTATTTGGTCATGCAGGGCTGTTCTCAACTTATTCTCGAAGAACATGAAAACAGCTGTTGAGAATTTTCAGGTATGCTGACAAGCGGTTAAAATCTTTCATTTAGTTGCACAAAATTTTATGTTCTTTTCTTCTTCCGAACTGAGGAAAATATAAATGTTTGGAATTCAGTTTAGCAAATGAAATAGCTTTTAGGCCAGAAAATTTTCTTGTAGCAAGCAGCCTCTTTGTGGTGGTGTGCTTGGTAATTGATATTTCTTACTTCATTCCAGTTAGTCTTGGATTCACATCGGTGGGTCCCATTACCAGCAGTTGGTTTTCCAGCCAATAGTATAGGTGAAAATAGCCGGGAAGACGTGACTCCGCCTTCAAGTCTAATGGAGCATCCACCTCTTGCTGTGTTTGTGAATGGTAAGTTCAACAATATCTTAAACATATAAAATGAACCTGCTGTCTCCATCTCCCTTTCCCTCTCCCTCTCCCTCTCCCTCTCCCATAATATTTCCTTGCTGTCCTACGAACTCTATCATGCAGTTGGAATGTTTTCAAAGTAAAAACTTTGTTGAAGAAATTTGCAGGATGAAAATTTACTAAATTAAGATTGCCACAAAATATATTGTTAAATAATATCCTGGCATAGATTTTGAAATTTCTTTTGCAATATTTGTATTGTGCAAACATGTTTGTTGGGATGTGAAGATGAAGTACAAAGACAAAATAGAGTGAGAAGGCTTCCCAAACTGCAACAGTTGCTGGCTTAGTTGTGTCAAGTAGTAGTGATCTTTTGTTGGAAGTTATTTTAACTTGTCCATCTCCAAGTGAAGTGACCCCAGTAATGGGGAGACTACTAAGGAGAAAAATAGAAGAAAATTCAAAGAGAAACGTCATAACTTGAAAAGTGCTAGAGGGAAATTTTGAGTCCTCTTTGTTGTGAAAGTTGTTTTATATCTTTTATAGGCTTAGTTTTGTGTACTTTGGTGGGAGTAATTTGGTTTTGTTTATTTTTGTGCTCCCTGCAAAGATGTGTGTTGAACTTCATTGTATATCCTTATTTTTTGGTTATAATATTACTTATCCAAAAAAAGAGTTTGTGAGATAACTTTTGGATTAGGTGCTTCCTAAAATTGTTTGTCCTTATTTGTCTAATTCCTTGATGTTGCACCCTTGGACTTGGTTTTAAGTTTCTATTGTCAGTTGCTTGTTGAGGAACATCCATTGCCAAGTTTTAACTTTTGAGACTTCCCAATTCCCCCTTATGCTTGCGAATGGTATTAAACACCAAATTTTAGGTCACTGACACTGCGCTAATGGATGGATTTGGGAAGGTTTAAAACAAGGTGGGTATGGATTTTGGGTGTGGCATCAAAACTGATTCGGGTTCATGACACGATTCAGTGTAGCTATGAAGGTGGCCTCATTCCAAATATAGTCAAATGAAATACATTCGTGTTTCTCAAAAGCAGTTCTATAGGTCTCCTATGTATGAAATTGTGTTAACATTTTCCATCCTTTTTAATTGTGTCATTCTCACCATGTCCATGACAAACCCGAACTGTAGTCTGTATCATTCCATTTCTGACGCCATTTGCAGTTGCCTCTTTCAGGAAATCTTCCTCTCCATTAAAAATATTTTCTTGTTTTTTTATTCAGTAATTAACAGTAATGTGTTTCCTCCTGGAGTTTAATATCTTGATTCAGTATATATTTGAGTGAGATCAATGCAGTGTGGGCAGTGTGTTCGGAGTGTAAAATTGGGATCAGGGATCGGATGCAAGGGACATGTCAGTTGTCTAGAGTGAGGTAGGGGTGCAGGTTTTTCTCGTCAGGGTAGGGTTAGAAATGTGGGCCATACCCGCCCTGTCCTCATTGTTGTAGGGCTAATTACATTCTTCAATCTTTTTAGTTGATAATTGTTTGTTGCTCATTCTAATAATATTGTGGTTAAATTTGATTTCTGCAACGGTTAGTGCTAATAATCTGGTGTCTGTCGCAATCTTTGTCATGCTTGCAGGTGTATCTGCCGCAATGAATGAATTACGTCCCTGTGCCCCAATAAGCTTGAAATACATGCTTGCTCAAGAATTAGCCAAGGGGTTGCAGGCTGTTTCTGATTCTTTACTGAGGTACAATACAACTAGGATGCTCAGAGAGAACGAGTCTGTACTTTTCCTTTCACTTTGTAGAGCATTCATCGAGGTAAATCCCCACTAACTTGTGCTGTTATATCTGTAAATTTTGATTATCCATCAAATTAACGGCCTAGCATTCATATGCATCCTTCTCAGGTTGCTTATCCACATTGTGCTACATGCTTTGGTCGATGTTACCCTGGCGGAGCTGCTCTTATTGCAGATGCCAAGAATTTATTCGATGGCATCGGGCGTCTATTAGCAACTTCTCGGTCAAAGGAATTGCCGAAACCAGTCCAACATACGGTGGAAAAAATTACTTCAGAAAATGGAAACATGCCCGTGGTAGAAAATGGGGTTATGCCTGATGTTGAACAGACGGGGAGTTCCAGCGTGGATGAGAACGAACAGAATATCACTCCCCAAACTGAGGAAAAGCTTGCCGATGCATGATTTGTGAAGCAGCTGTATGTATGAGCCATAGAATTATAGTTTTGCAAAGTCCACTTGTTCTTAATTACAAACTTGTAAGCATGACTGTATCTCATTAGAGGCCTATAATTATAAGATTAAAGGACGATTGTCCATTTTCCAGATGGGATGGGATAATTTTTTTTTAATATTTTTCAAGTGATTCAGAGGCAAATTCTTTATGTACCTTGGTGACTGTTGAGGCACACATTTTTTCTATTGAGGTGACAATTAGCTTGTAATAATATTACGTTGTAGTGAAATTCAATGAAATGTGGTTGCAAAATGGTGTTAGTGAAGTCATGTAGTTATGGGTTCTAAATATCCACCTTTTTTGTTTTTTGTTGCAGGTTGTTTTTCTTTTTCTTTTTTATTCATTCTTTCTTTTCTATTAAAAATGTGGTCATCATTGTGTTCATGAGAGCAAAAAGGGCCATGAATTGCCATTCTATGCACACCTTCAAATGATTTTGCTATTTTTTTTTTCTTTTTTAGTTTTTTGACTTGGGATCAATTATCATGCCCCAAACATGCTCTTCTTATTGATTGTAAATTTATAAAAATGCTTTGAGAATAAAAGTGCTTTCTAAAGTGTATACAGGGTGACCAATTGGACTAGTTAATTGGTTTATGCATTTGGAATTAATTCAAAATTTTTTTTTTTTGGATTTGTTCGAAAGATGGATGAGTTCAATTAAAATTCACAAATTTGATTAAACTAATAAAATTCATTTGAAATTTGAAAAGTCGTACTATAAAATAGTTCATCCTCTCCTGCTCTTCCCTTTGGCCCTTCCTCTGAGAAACGGGCCAGATTAGGCCACATTACCCCACAGAAAATCTGCGGCTCAGATTAGCTCAAAAAAAAAATGCCCTTTTTTTGGCACTCTGTATCTCCCACGTCCCGCTCAAAAAAAAAATGCCATTTTTCTGGCACTCTGTATCTCCCACGTCCCACCTCTCTCTCTCTCTCTCTCTCTCCTAATAAAAAAATGAAAAACTATTTTAATCTTTTTGATTTTATTTTCATAATATAATAATTTTTAATATAAAAATTAATTTTTATAAAATTAATATCATTGAAAATATACCTTTAAAATGAGACTAATATTAAATATATTTAATAATAAAATAAAATAAATAAAAAGTAATTACTATGTTTAGTTTTGTTTGAAATTATTATTTTTTAAATATAAAAATTAATTTGATGAAATAAACACACAAAAATCATATATTTTTGAAATTCTCAAAAACAATCTTCATTCCAAAAAAAATTATATGAATTTGGATCCCACTAAAAAACTCATGTGTTTTTTAAATTTTGTTTATATTTATTAGGGATTTTTTTTTCTTTTAAATTTTGTGTCAAAAATTTTTAGCATAAAAGGATTTAAAAAGTAAACCTAAAAAAATTCACTAAAAACTCAAAAATAAAAGTAAAATTTTAGAAAAAAATGATAGAAACAATTTCAAGATTTAAGCCTTATAACAAAATAAATTTTAAAATTTGTGAATTTAAATTCTAATATTTGAATTTATTTTCAATTTAAACTATCTATCTATTTTCATTAAGTAAAATTGTTAGAAAAAAATATATTTCAGTTATTAAATTCAATGAAACAGATATTTTATATATTTTTCGTATATCTAAATTGAGGTTAATGAATTAAAGTACACATTTTTTTGAGAGTTTTACTTAACAAAAATAATCAAATGGTTTATATTTAAAACAAATCAAAAGAATTTATGGTGAGAAAAAATATGAGTCCAGGCCCAAACCTAATCATGTTAGCCTAAAACAAAAATGAGTAACTCCAAGTCCATTTCTTGAAGCCCATAGAAGACAACTAGCAACAACTGGGCATCCAATCAAGGCTTGTGGGGGACAAGCAAATATAAAAGATAGCCTTTTAAAAGGCAAATTTGTAAAATAAATGAGAGATGTCGGATTAGGTTGACAAGCGTAAAAACAGACAAAACTAAGACATAGGCTGGGCATAGTAGAAGGAGGGATTGTCCGAATAAATTGATCCTACAGACGTAACGTTTGACAAGTTTGCCACTAACGTCTAACAGCATCTAGGCCATCCATGCGATAGAGATCCAACGATCAAAGACTAGGCAACCTAGCAAGTTGCCCGACCAAAACTAGGTGTGGGGAGAACCCTTTGATCAAAACACGATCCAATGGATGAAATTTGACCAGAATAGTTATAAATGGGTAAGCAAGCAAAGTATAAGGGGGACAAGAGAATGACTCTAATTCAATCTAATTCTATTAAATCTTGATCAACTTCTACTTCAAAAAATATTTTCTTTTTAAATATTTATGTGTTATGACTGATTAGTGTACTGACTTGTTTATCGAAACGACTTTCTACCTACCCTGATCGGAAGTGATTACTCACGTTTGATTTTTTTTTACAAAGTGTAAAGGATTGTGTGCATCATCTCGCATTTTCTGTGAAGATAATCTCATCTTTCACATATTCAAATTTAAATTGACAAAAATAAAATTTACAATTTATTCAAATCCCGATATTTTTAATTTTTGTTTTTGGGTATAATTTTTCAACATATTTATTTTTAAAAAAGAAAAAAATTCACTAAAAAGACTAATCCCAGACTCTCTCACACCTGGGATTATAGTGTAGTATATTGGTGGTAGTATTCAGTTGGGTCTTTTTCTATAGGAGACTGCCCTGTGGAACTGGTGCGAGGGTTTCATATCCGCTCCTCAATAGAAGCGAGCGAATCACCATTCTGATTTCAATGATAATGAGGTAATCCAATCCAATCAATCAATCAATCAATCCTTCGTCTTCTCATTTTCACTTCACTCTCTTCCTCTCAATTTCACTATTTGTTTCAGATTTTATTTTATTTTTTGTTTTTGTTTTTGTTTTTGTGTGGGCATCAGCTGATTCTGAAAAAATAAACTTGTCAATATCTATGATCCACTTTTTAAATATATTATTTCAAAAAAAATAAAAAATAAAAATATATGGATTTCTACGATTGCTGTCGGCAGGTCATACAATTCATACCTAGTCTTGATGGAGCTTGAAGTCAATTTTTTCAAATTTCGTCTCCTAATTCAACATAAGCTTTTTGGTGTTTTATTTATTTATTTATTTTAAATGTAAGAATAGTTTTTATTTTTTTAGGATTGAATATAAAGTGTATAGACTACATATCATTTTGGGTATTGGTATATGTACCTCTTTATGGACGTGTAGAGATTCTGATGAAGGTATTACATTTAGAATTGAAGTTATTTTGAGTCGGTTGTAGGATGGGTGTGCAATATTTAGAGTGGGTGAGTTGGGTGTTCAAGATTTGTGAGGTAAGTATTCAAAATTTGTAAATTTGTGTAGCCAAATTATGAAGAGTGGATTAATTAACAAACGCACACACAAACACATATAACGAAAAAGAAAATTACGGTTTTCAATTAAGTGCCCTTTCCTTTCTGTGCCGCTGCCACTGGATTTGAGATGATTGGATGATTCTATTTGGCTAGTTGTCTCTTTTGAAACCAACACATGCTTTAGCAGTTCCAATGAGGAAGCCCATTGTAGGGTTTCAACATGGGAATTCATGTCCATTATGTCTTGTTTATTAATGGAACAAATACATACATACCTACATTTTAGGCATGCAGTATATACTATCTATATGTATATATATGTATGCATTCATGTTGCTCATTATTTTACTTTGGGTGAAATATTAATTTTGCCCAAATTCACAGAATTTGTGTCACATATATGATATGACTAATTTGAGAGTTTGACATAGAAATTTCTTCAAGCCAAAGTACAAAATGCAATGTAAGAAGACAAATATACCTTATCTTACTAACCTGATCATAACCATTTTCTTTCTTGAAAACCTAACCCTAATCGTAAAAAACCCTAAAAGGACAAACTTAGTAACCCCAGCCACCCTTTCTGCCTCCTCTCACCTTCCCATCCACTTCTTGCCAGCCCTGCCTCCACCCTGTCCCAACTCACTTGCACCCCACCACCCTCTTCACCCCCTTCACAGGCCAAAATGTTTTTGTAAATTTTTTCGGGTTTTTTAGTAATTTTATGTGAAAATGAATAGAAAAACAAGAAAATGCAAAGGGATTGGGGACGTAATGGAGAGAGGAAGAGACTATATGTTGAAATTTATGTATATGTATACGGAGAGAGAGGAACCTTAAAGTCTGAATCGGTAAGGGACAAATGGAAAATAGTCAACAATACACAACTTGTGAAAATTCATACAAAAAGTGGGATTTTGTAGAAACATAATCCTTAGAATGTGTTGCCTTTTCAACTTTGCAAGCTTTTGTCAGATCAGTCGACCCTCTTGATTTTTTCCCCAACATGAGCTTGAACCTATCAAAATCATAAAGAGAGGGACCTTAAACGCTGAATAGTAAGGAACAAATGAAAATTAGGACACAATACACAACATTTGAAAATTCATATTAATAGTGGGATTCTTTAAAAACATAATCCTTAGAATGTGTTGCCTTGTCAACTTTGCAAGATCTTGCTAGATCAATACCCTTTTGATTTTTTACGTCATTAGTTTGAACCTATCAAAAATCATTAAGACAAGCCCCTCTTTTTTGGACAATTTGCTTTCTGCCCCAACAGCTATTCTCCCACTTGTTCTTAATATGTGCGACTTCCATTCCTGCAATTAGTGTTTTCTTCTTTGGGATTCTTTTGATGTCGACTGTGATGTCTGTTAGAGAGAGCCTCTTTAAGTTCATTTGGCATCTCACCAGTCAGCTTGTTTCTGATCGATAAGGTCGATGAAAAGCTTCCATAGTCCTTGCCGTCATTGTCGTCAAATTGCAACTTGATCTTTGAATCTTATCGAAGTGTGGAGAATACAACATTTTGTCTGCTTGTTGCTCCTACAACAACTTTCTTTTCTGGGGTTTTCCAAGCAACCTTGAGCTCATTAAGGCTAATGCTCTGGGATTACAACTGCTTAGCTTTCAATTCACCTTTGACCATCAACTGAAATGTGAATAGCCCGTCTTCCTCTCTTCAGAACAAGGGGTGCTTTTGGTTTTATTGGTGCTTGAAACAATTTTGTCTTCCCCAAATATTACTACATCTCTATGAGTTTTTAGTTTTTATGGGATTAGTTCTTATATTAGGAAGTGTAGGAGTGATATTTGGTAAAGTAGGCAAATGAACCACTTTAGCTTTGCCTTAAGATAAAGCAGCTTGACGTATTGAGCTGTAAGGGATGCAAGGGGATGAAGGTTTTGCAATTTTTTTAATAGAAATGTTGAGTTTTCAGTTTAAACAAATAATTTCTTTTTGTAGATTCATCTATAATTCTATGACTCCTCATAGAAGTTGACAATAACATATGAATAGCAGTAGCCTAAGTAAAATTCACTTTATTTAATAATATATAATTTTTTCATATGTATATATAAAAAACACACAATGTTTTTGAAATGAAATAAATATCAATATAGCTAAATTGTATATATATATATATATATTTATAAATATAAAATTATGTGTATCAATATAACTAATTAATATATTTTTATTTATTTATTATTTCTTGATATAGATGTGAAAACAATGATTTATGCATTGTGCAAACAAAAATAAAAACGTAACTATATCGTAGTGATAGTGAATCACATTGAATACTGGCGAATCATAATGAATTGCAGTGAATCACATGATTCACTTAATTTCCAATTCAACAACTTGATTCAAATCGTTTTTGTTGAAACTTGTATAGAATTGTATAAATTGAATCATGAATCGCACAATTCTGGGTTTTGAGTTTCAGTTTTTTTTTTTTTTTTAAAGGGCTTTGGTTTGTTACCAAGAAAAAAAGGAGTTTATGGTGGAAATAGATTAAGTGCAGGAAGCATTCATGGGGAATAGTGATGGAGGGTATAAAGTCATTTTACTGGTAACATTAAAGAGTTTGGGTTGCAATTTAGTCCAAAATCACATGGAAAGTCTTTGGCTATTTTTAAATGATATGGGGGCGACGTGCCACAAAGCCATACCATAGGGGGTAAAATGGAGTTTGCTCTTTTACTTTTTATGTCAAATGATGGCAATTTAATATTAATCTATAGTGTCAAATAAGGGACTTTTCCCAAATTAAGCCAAATTAGCAACTTAATTTCCAAACTAGGCCTAGTTTGGACAAACTAGGCTAAAGTGCTATTGCAAACCACGCTTTCACTGTTTCCAGGACTCTCCCGTGGAAAATTTGTGAAATAGTAAAAGTATGGTTACAAATCACGCTTTTAATTAAGAAAGCGCGGTTACAAACCACGCTTTTAAGTAAATTTTTTTTTTCTTCAGAAAATGTGATTGCAAATCACGCTTTTACTGTTGAAATGCAAAAACGTGTTTTCAAAACACGTTTTCCAGACAAACCAAACCAACCCACACTCTGACACACCCACACACACCCACAACACAACACTCACGCACATCCCACAATATAATTGAAACAATATAATTCTTATATATAATAATAATTAAATATATATAATAAGCTATTTTGATTTTTTTTTTAGTTTTTTTTTTTTATTATTGTTTATAAAAAAAATAGAAAAAACGATATGCTAATTTATAATAATTTTAAATCTTTTTAATTAAAATTAAAAATTACCAAACGAGAAACATGCTACACTTCACTAAAGAAGAGCAAGGTCGGTGGGTACATATGTCACATTATTTGCACCTTTATCATTTTTTCCATGCAATTATTATATGTATATTTGCACCAACAACAACAGTATAGTCATTACCCTTCATTTCATTTTAAGGGTGTTGTTGAAGAGTCACTTCACGTGGACTACTAATAGTAATATCACAATGCAGACTCAAAAGCTGGCCAATGCACATGCACCTAATCTTGATTAGAGTACCGAAAAAATAAAAATAGAAATTTTGAAAAAAAATCAATAAATAAAGTCTCTTTTGATTAGATAGTTGGAATTAATTCAACACATTAAAAGATAAAATAGGTTAAAAAATTAATGAGACAAAATATTACATTTAAGTCATAATCATTTCAAATTTTCTCTCATTACAAAAGTACACAAAAATAAAAAAACCAAACTTTCTTAATCAAGTTAAAATAACTAAAAAATCACAAAATTAATAAAGTTATTTCCAAACGAAGGCTAAATGAAATTTGTGTTAAAAGTACTAATTTTTGTTATAAGAATTTTTGCTCTAAAAAATTATGATAACAATTCAAGTTATTTGTGAATTGTTACAAAATGTCCATTCAAAAAAAGTTTAAAAAATCCTTAAATGTGAAATTTGAAAATATCTCTAATAGAAGCACTTTTAGAGATAAAATAATTTTGAAAATATCTCCAAAAATGAATTTAACACGGCACGACCAACATAAAACAGTTTCAAACCTGTAATTAGAACTGGGAAGCCAAACTTGCAATAATTTTTGTTGGATTTTTCTTAAGTGTGCCTTGCATACCATATGCAAGGCACTTGCACCTTTTTTGTTTTGCACTTACACCTTTTATGTTTTGGGTTATATCAAATTTTGTTAAAATTTCCACATTGGTAACCTTGCTAAGCAGGTCACTTTACAGGTAAAATTAATAAAATTAAAGGCGTAAGGCGTTAGTTGTCACAAAAAGGTGTAAGTTTTGACAAAAGGCGTAAGTAATTTCAGAAAAATGCGTAAGTTTTCACAAAAGGCGTAAGTAATTTCAGAAAAATGCATAAGTTTTCACGAAAACTTACACATTTTGTGAAAACTTACGTTTTTTTGTGAATTTACTTACACCTTTTGTGATGCACCTTTTGTGAAATACTTTCTTTGTGAAAATTTATACATTTTGTGAAATACTTTCTTTCATAAAATTTACACCTTTTGTGAAATTACTTACATATTTTGTGAAAAAACTTACACCTTTTCTAAAAAATTACACGTGAAATACTTTATGAGAGGGAGGTTCGTGACCTAATATTGGGCCGAGCCGGTTTGGGCCGGAGTCAAGAGCCCTTGCTCGGTCAGACATTGGGCGCACATTGGACCGAGGATTTAGTTCGGCTGATTTGGAGCAACTTTGGATTGCCGGTCCGGACAGGGTGCGCACTCTACAGGGTGGATGGGATTAGTCCTCAAAACGTCAAGATAAACCGAGAAAGAGCTCGGTCGTGGCTAAGAAGCTCGGTCGAGCCACGGTGCGGGACCATCGATTAAAACCGGACAAGTAGCGCGGGCATGAGGTGATAGCATGGCGCTACGCTAAGTGTAACTCGGTGGGGAGTATTACGTGGCGCCGCGAGTCTGCACGAGGAGATCCCACTGTCCGTACGCGCCAACCATTTGACGGTTTCGTTAGGTGGTGTTTAGCTATATTAGCGCTGACACATTGGGCGCACATTGGACCGAGGATTTAGTTCGGTTGATTTGGAGCAACTTTGGATTGCCGGTCCGAACAGGGTGCGCGCTCTACAGGGTTGGATGGGATTAGTCCTCAAAACGTCAGGATAAACCGAGAAAGAGTTCGGTCGTGGCTAAGAAGCTCGGTCGAGCCACGGTGCGGGACCATCGATTAAAACCGGACAAGTAGCGCGGGTGTGAGGTGACAGCATGGCGCTACGCTAAGTGTAACTCGGTGGGGAGTATTACGTGGCGCCGCGAGTCTGCACGAGGAGATCCCACTGTCCGTACGCGCCAACCATTTGACGGTTTCGTTAGGTGGTGTTTAGCTATATTAGCGCTGACACGTGGGAAAATGTAAGAGGAGAGCAGGTCTACACATGCCAAGAGGAATGGGCGCAAAAGCGCGGGCAGAAACTATATAAACGAAACTACGCCTCCATACTTAGGGCTGGAACATCCTTTGGTCAGATTCAACTACCACTTTGTGTCGTCTCTTTTCTCTCTCTCTTTCTCTCTCTAAGTGTGCTAACTTGATCATCGGAGAGCTTTTCCGGCAGCACACCGCCGGGTAACTCACCCCCATTGTGTTCTCAGGTCGATCGGAGTGAAACGCAGCTTGGACACGAGGAGTACAGACAACATCCGATATTTAGCTCCCGTACAATTGGTGCTGTCTGTGGGAATATCGCCGACAGACAAAACCTTGTCCTCTAAGCTCCACGTTTTTGCATTTGTGAACAATGACGATGTCCCACTGTCCGCCATCGACGGCATCACTCTGGAACCCGTTCGGAGAAGAGATGGTCTTCCCGCCATCCCTGCTATGGCTGGTCTAGAGACCTCTTCTAGAGGACTCCCCAAAGATGCGCGAGACAAGCGTGCAAGGAGCACTGACCACTCACAGAGTCCTGACGGGCACCGGCGGCGAAGAGAATCACGCGCTTAGCGCCTGGAGCATAAGTTGAGAGACCAAGACACCATCATTTGAAGGATGGCGGCGAAGATGGAGGCGCTGAAGAGGCAGGTCAAGAGAAAGGGTGTTGCTGGAGTGGGTAACCACAGTGAGCGCATCCAACCCCGTCGCTTAGGTAGCCAGAACCAACGGCGGACACCCTTTCTCTCCATCACCAGAAGTTATGGGATTGGTGCCTCTAACCCGCCTGCAGAGAAGTCTTATGTGCAAGACAGCAGTTATCATTCTTCACGTCCGTCGAAAACGTCGAGATATTCCTACTCCGCCAGTCCGAAGGACCTAAGGGACGTCTTAGAAGAACGAGCGCGCTGGCGGGAGGCATAAAGGGTGCCAGCGTTGCAACGGTTATCTCATGGAGGTCGTGCTAGTGAGGAAGTCACAATGCCGTCACCACGTCCAGCTGCACATGCCCCTTTGGACAGAGACTTGGCAAGACTGAGCGCCACCCCCTTCTCTCTTGAGATAGAGACCACACTGCTCCCTGCGGGCTTCCACCAGCCCAAGTTTACACTCTACGACGGAAAAATTGGTCCATACATGCGCGTGAGCCACTTTCGGAAGGTTATGGCTGGATACAGGCGGAACGACGCCCTCATGTGCAAAAAAATAAGTGCATTTTTGACTTATTAAAAAAATATGTGCAAAAAAAATAGAGAGGTAATGTGATTCAAAGTAATGCTAGAGACCCCAAATAATCTATTAAATGTTTTACCAAACCTCTCAGGTGTGGGACCCATGCACATGTGGATTTGTATGAGTCCCACACCCATGTGAGTGGTTTGGTAAATTATTTGGGATAGCTAGCACTTTCAAAATAAAAAGATAAAAAGTGTATTTATATAGTGTACCCCAAACCAAACGAAAAATGCCACATCATCATGCTTTGTCTATTTACCTATAAGTATAACCAAAAGTCAATTTAAATTTTAATATGCCATTTGATAGGGGCTTTTCCCAAATTAAGCCAAATTAGCAACTTAATTCCCAAACTAGGTCTAATTTGGACGGAATTCCCAAACTAGGCTAAAGCGCTATTATAAACCACGCTTTCACTGTTTCTAGGACCCTGCCGCGGAAAATTTGTGAAATATTAAAAGCGTGGTTACAAACCACACTTTTAATTAAGAAAGCGTGGTTACAAACCACGATTTTAACTAAAATTTAATTTTTTTTTTCAGAAAACGTGATTGCAAATCACGTTTTCTACTGTTGAAATGCAAACCAACCCACACTCTGACACACACACACACCCACAACACAACACAACACTCGTGCACATCACACAATATAATTGAAACAATATAATTTTTATATATAATAATAATTAAATATATATAATAATAATTTATAATAGCAAATAATAATCAACTATATAATTTTTATAATTTTTGTAAATATAAATCATTTTTAGGTTATGGATGGTTTGATTTATAATACGTATGTAAGGGTAAAAAATTGGAGTGTATGAGATCTGATGTTTGATGAGGTTGAAGTTGTTGTTGATGTCGATGATGTTCAATGGTCATTAACATATATATAGGACCTAATGGTTCATAAGAAAATTCATAGGACCAAATAGTTTACAAGATATAAATTTGAGATTTATTAGTGCATCCCCCTTATATATATAATACATACGTATCAAAAATAATTTATTTAAAGTAAATATATAAAAATTATATATATATAATACATACGTATTATATATAATTTATTTAAAGTAAATACATACGTATTATAAATTATTTTTGATAATTTATAAATTATTTTTGATTATAAAAATTGCAAAAATTATTTTTGATTATAAAAATTTTTATCCTTACATACGTATTATAAATCAAACTATCCATAACTTAAAAATGATTTATATTTACAAAAATTATAAAAATTATATAGTTGATTATTATTTATTATTATATATAAAAATTATATTGTTTCAATTATATTGTGGGATGTGCGTGAGTGTTGTGTTGTGGGTGTGTGTGTGTGTGTGTGTCAGAGTGTGGGTTGGTTTGGTTTGTATGGAAAACGTGTTTTGAAAACACGTTTTTGCATTTCAACAGTAAAAGTGAGATTTGCAATCACGTTTTCTGAAAAAAAAATAAATTTTACTTAAAAGTGTGGTTTGTAACCACACTTTTACTATTTCACAAATTTTCTGCGGGAGTCCTAGAAACAGTGAAAGCGTGGTTTGTAATAGCGCTTTAGCCTAGTTTGGGAATTTCGTCCAAACTAGGCCTAGTTTGGGAATTAAGTTGTTAATTTGGCTTAATTTGAGAAAAGCCCCGTCAAATAACCTATCATAGTAATTCGTTCAAAGATCCCATTGACTGGCTTTCGAGTTATTTGTAGCTTAAAAACTAGATTAATATTGGATTGGCCACATCTGATTTGACTTGTGCAATGATGCAGTCGACATCCGGAGGTTCTTTGGGCTCAGCGCTCTGACAAAGTTTACCTGACCATTGCTTTACCTGATGCAAAAAATGTTTCTTTGAAATGTGAGCCTCAGGGGTTATTTAGTTTCTCTGCAAAGGGTGTCCAAGGCGAATCATTTGACTTTAGTCTGGAACTATATGGGAAAATAGTACCTCAGGTGAGCTCCCTAATCACTTTTTATTCTTTAATTAGACATATATGCATTTGTGTGCATGTGTTTTGTCTGTCTGTAGATTAAAGAAACTTAAAGTACTAATAACAATTAAAAAAAAGAAAGAAAAGAAACTTAAAATAATAAATTGATATTTTAAGATTGAATAGAAGTGAGATGCTCTACCCATTGTTAATATTCTTATGTTGATGTAGTTGTGAATTAATATTCGGCATTCATGCCACTAGCTTTCTTTGTTGTGCATCATTTGAAGGTTCTTTTGGTTTTAACTTTATTAATTGATTAAACTTTCTTTTTTGTAATGCTTTGAATTGGGTGCTATATTCTCCGGTGCAGAGCTGTAAATCAAATGTTGGGTTAAGGAACATACTTTGTTCAATCCAGAAGGACCAGAAGGGTTGGTGGAAAAGACTATTGAAGTCAGAAGAAAAGCCTGCACCTTATATTAAGGTGGACTGGAACAAATGGTGTGATGAGGATGACGAAGAGTCAACTAGCTGTAAGTTCGTGTTCACATGATAAGCTTTTCTCTTATGTATTGAAGATTGGAACAGGGCAGGTTATTTAAGCTTATATTGTAGTCATATCATATCCTAAATTGTATTTTGCCTTCTCTCTCAGACCAATAAACTTCCAGTAAACTTACATCCTGCTCCTATGTGATCCTTTTCTATGTTACTTGATTCTGTTTTTAAATTTTGTGAAACCATGACATTGATGTGCTTCTTTGTTTATTGTTGAAAGAATTTGATCTAGCGGTAATTGAAAGAATTTGCTTTCCTACGTAGAGTAACACACCTTTTGCTTGTCCTATAATTTCTATCATGGATATTTGCTTGTGATCGCATGTGCCCTCTAATTATTAATTTGTCTTTAACTGCATTTTAATGGTAAGAAAACCACTCCCTCCCTTCTTACTATTTAGTTTCATTGTATGCTCTTTTTCTATTTAAGTAACTATATCTTGTCTGAACTGTTACAACTTTGGTAGAACTTACATCTCCCACCTTTTCTGCTATTTAATTGAATGATGAGCTTCTTATATAACCAAACCAAGCCTTTGTGTCCCAATCAGATGTGATCGGCTACCTGCATCCTTTTTCACCATTTCGCTTTGTCAAGGATTATATGCTCAGTTGATGAGGGGAAAATTTTAATCTACCTAATGCCCTTTATTTTCAATATAATTTGTCAAAAACATCCTTGGGGTTGGCTTGTGTGTGCTGAAAACCTATTAACAAATTTGTTTATTTCCCAAACCTTAAAGGATGGACATCATCTTTCTGTCCAAAGAAGAGATAAAAACACATATAGAAGACTTAATCAATCCTCCTTAGTTGCTAATACTAAGTTGCTCTCTCTCTCTCTTAATCAATCATCTTTTTTTGTTTTGTTTTGTTTTGGTGGTGTGTATAGGGGGGGGGGGGGGGGATAAAAAAAAATCCTTGCTTATTGTTTTGTCTAGAGATAAGTACTCCAATTTTTAAAAACTTCAGAATTCATCAGCAAAATAAATAAATAAAATTCAGAATTGCTTTGCCCTTGATGCTGGTTCCTCATCCAACCAGGACTAGCTTTTGGTAATTGATCTTACAAAGTAGATTATTTCCCATTCTCACCAATAACCTCCCTCCCCTTCTTACGAAAAAAAAAAAATATGTAAAAGAAAAACTCGTTACAAAAAATTTCATGGTCAGAAAGCTTTAGACATTTAACTAATGTGTTTTATTGGAGCATATTTAGAGCAAGGAACAGGTTGCTGTTTGTGAGGCCTACCCATGAGTTGAAGAGGACCTTGTCGAATGCTTTCCAGTTTTAGTAGAGCTAGTAGCCACCTTTTTAAACTTCACTTTATGATGGCAAGAATTTTAGGGTTCCACAACACTACATAAGCATCTCTATCTTTCCATTTCCTCCATCTTTTTCTATCCTATGAGTTAATTTGTGCTTGCGAAACAAGACAAACGGAGATAAAGATTTTTTTACCATGATTTGTATCCCACACTGAGCCTGCCTCGCATTGCCTTTAGGACTATTTTGGAATAGCTGTGGCTGATGCATAATACTATGGAAGACTAATTTATTTCTTCTATTCTGTTTTTCATTTCTAATTTTCTGCAGTTGGTGGTTATTGTGTTATTGGTTCTATATATCAAGCTATTGTGAATGGCCTTTCTCCAAAATAGATTATTTGAATTAATAGGAACAATGATTTCATAGTACTGGTTATGTTTCACCATAAACAAAAATGTGTAGCAATCCTGATGATACCACTATTCATAATGTTCTTAGTTTTTGCAGCCTTCACTGTTCCAAGTTCAACGACTGATTGTATTTGAAATACCACATAGGCTACATTAGCATCTGCATCTCCATAGATTATTTTTTGTGTGTGGTAATATGTAACCTGAATATTAGCAATTCAGTGGATTTGACTTCAAGATTTGTGTTTCTGTGCAGCTGACCTTGCCTCTGATAACGATGTAGCGGTAATTGGATCCCCCTTCTGAATATATTGATAATAGGGTGATTAAGTCTTGTCGTTCAATCATTTAATATGACCTTTTCTCTGTTGGCAGAATACTGGTGAAGATGATGGGAGTAGTGATGACGAAGGAATGCTCTGTGAGTTTCAAATTCTGATCTCTTCATTAAATTGAAGCTGTTATATTTAATTGCTTTCTGAATATATATTTGCTAGTTCTTATTTCATGCATACACCCATTTTGGCATTCCACACCTTGCACTACTCAATGGTTTTTTTCAAAATTAATTCTAAAATACGTGCACCTAGTTTCTGGAGATCATCTACTTACTGACCAACATTGTTGTATGGAATGGAGGGATTTTATTCCAAAATTTACCACTACTACTTGAATTGAATGGTTTCAGTTTTTACATTTTCATTCATTCATTTCATTTTAAAGTAGAAAAAGAAAAGGAAAGAAAAAAAAATAAAGGGAAGAGATAACTCAGGACCTCTTCCCTCCCTTCTTACTCGTATTTTTTTTAAAATACTGTTTCTCTCTTTTGATTATCACTGGGCAGTCTTGAACAATAGTCTATCTGAAAGCATTTTTTACTGGATTGCAGTTCATTTTTTTCCTAGGGTTATAAATTTTGAAGTCATTTTTACATTTATTATGTGTTGCAGATCTTCCCGACTTGGAGAAGGTCAGAGGAAACTAGCAGGAGATTGAATACTAACAAGTAAACACGAAAATGTAGCCTCTGTGAAACCGATTTACTTAAACTAGGTATGCTTAGTTTCAGACATTGTGGAGTCATTGTCCTCATCATTACTGTACATGGTATAGCTTAGCTTTGAATATTTGGAGGTTCAGTTACCTTCTTGGCTGCCTAACACAATCTCCGATTAACTGAATGTACTTTTGAGTATGCTGGGGGCCAGTTATTTGAAGTTTGATATGCTATGATGCATAATGGGCCTAGAAATTACAATAAGAATTGTTTGGGTTGGTTTGAACTTTCTCAATACTATCCCCATTTTGGTTTTGTATGTATTATCTGCATTGACCAACCGATTTGTGACTGATTTGGGGGAAAGAAAATATTGGGTGTTATGTGACCTTTCTAGGTATTTTTTGTTCCTTTCAAACTTATTGTTAAAAAAAAGATGTGAAATCATAATCTTGGGACTGAACTACTTGGCGTACATATTCAAGACCTTAGACCTTGGATAGTTTAGCAGTTTTTTCTAACACTCTCAACACTACATTCATCTTGGATGGGTCACGTTTTATTAAGGTGGTGTTTGTTTTGCCATAATAATTTTAGAAGAACAGAGTTTAAAAAAAAATAATAATAATAATAAATAGTATTATAACTGCACAACAGATTTTCTATCAGATTTTTTTTTTTTTTTAAAAAAAAAAACCTAGGAGAAGCCATGTTTGCTAGAACAAAAGAACACAAACGAACACCAAATTTTGTTGAACAAGAACACACAAGAAAAAAAATCTGAGGAAGCAGCCATGTTTGCTGCTGAGAAGATTTTTACACGGAAAAAATTAAATAAAAAATTTGTATATAAAAGATTTTGAAGGAAGAAAAAAAAAACAAAAAGAAAACCAGTTCGTCGGTTGTTTTGCCTAATTTTGTAGTCCCATGATGATTGAAACACCAAATTTGGAATAATAATTTTTTTAAAAAAAAAATAGGGAAAAAAAAGTTCATAGGTGCAGGTTGGTGAAAGTACAACAAAATACCATCAACACAGCCCAAATCACAGTGCAATCTAAAACAATGGTATGAAAACTAGCAAGAGCAAGTTGGAAAAGGAAGAAGAAGCACAAAAATCGGGTCAGTGTACCCTACCTGTCGCAGGTCTTCAATGACCGGTGAGCAAGACAGTCGGCTGTGTGGTCTTATGCAACAGATCCGCTGGAGTGAGATCCGCCAGAGAGAGGTACAATGGTGTTCTTCAAACCCTCCGTTCAATGGGTGGACAAAAGATACAGATGGGAGAGACGAAAGCCTCTTCATCAGTTGTCACTCTAATTTTTGATATGAGCTAAACAAAGGGTAAAATTATATTTTTACCAACATAGTAACATCCAGCTGGACAGAAATCTGGCTACCTCAACTATAGTGAGGCTACATAGCTTTTTTCGTAAAAGAGGCTAAAATAGCCTCACACACAGGTTGCCAAACACCCCCTTTATCATATAAAAAATAGCAAAATTGTTGACATCATCAAATAATTAGTTTGATGAAAATACTCAAATAAGCCTTAGTTGTAGTTGAAAATGTAAACCTGCACACATAACTCAACAATCAAAGGATAAACCTTGGGACGTGCTGCGGCGGGAGGAGGCGGGAAGGAAATGCCGATGCTAGAAGGGGTTGCTAGTACTAGATTAGGATTTGCAGAGGGCAGGAGGAGAGGAAAAGAGAGAGGAGAGGTAGGGAAGAGGGTTAAGAGCAAAAATAGTATGTCACCTTCATTTTTTAAATTTTTTTTAAAAAAATTCATCCCTATTGCAATAGTTTTAGATTCCTATTGTTTTTGCAATTACTTATACTTCTTACCATTTTTGTGCAATTTCCCCTTACTTTAATACAACTTGGACTCCGCAGTTTCCCAGGGAAGGATAATCACAGCCATGATTTTACTAACAAATATACAACATTACCCATCACTATCATTTTACCTTCAAAAGAGCAAAATAAATATTCAAGAAATACAAAAAAACAAGATAAATCCAACATGTACCTGTTCTCAGCACTATCTTGTACCCAAGTCCACGTAACATAAGAGCAGGAGAAAAACCTTGAGCGGAAGAAAAAGCTTGCCATAACTCGCACATTGTTTATTCTTCCTTAGAGATGATTGGAGAGGACCAAGATTTTGGTAAACGAAACAATTTAACTTTTGAACACAATTTTGTTTAAGGTTTTGCATATAATCTTTTTCTGTTTTCTAAAAGTCTTATAGTGATCACAGTAACCAAAACATATGTCCTATCTCGACTAGTAACCGTATAAATATATGCGAAATGGAAATAGTCTGTACTATCTTTTACGACAACGGTAGAGAAAGAAACTAACAGCACAGGAACAAAAGAGAGAATAAAACAAATGGAAATAACAAATATAACTCGGCAGCTTAAATTATGTTTGGGTATCAGGAACGTTGTCAATGACTTCAACAGGAATAATTGGAATCGAATCCCACCATTCCTTCAAGCGTCGGTTCCCTTGCTTATTTGCCGCGTGCTTCCCCAGTTTTGATGACGTAGTGAAGCAACACAATATAATTGCCATAAGGATATATTTGAAAGGAATCACTGCTAATATGATTGCCAATCCGGTCAAAGCCATCATTACCATATCTGTGTGCTGCAACCAATAAACAAAAAAAATCTTTGACATTTAAAAAAATATCATCAAAATATTTTGAAATCAATGAAACAACAATTTCAGGATAATTGAGATAAAACATGAAAGTAACAAAAAATATTTTGTTCTTGAAAATATTCTAAGCAAGGAACCCTCCAAGGCCACATTGTACCCATTTTTGCAGATTAAACCTTGGATACCTATAACCACATGCTAGCCACAAATATCAAATGAGACAAGGCATTGCCTGTGGTAGTTGAACTCAAGATCTCTGAGTTTATGGTTGGTCCCAAGCATAGGTCCTAAGCTCCCTTAAACCAATGGGCTACCTTGGTGGGTTTAATTATAGAATAGACAATTCTTTTCCTCCTGTCACCTTCTGCAAGTTAATGATCATTTTTGTTTTGATTGGTTTCATTCTTTTTCCTCAAACCATGTTAGGGAGAAACACGAGCGGGTATAGTGAGTACCTTAGGGGCCTTTGAGACCAATATCGACCAGATTTTCAATATTGAAATGTTTGCCATCTGCACTATGTCCTGTGCAGTTTTCAATCCGTGTTGTGCCGATACTATACTCTCCATTGTTGTCTTGTCAGAGGCTGTGCTCAGAACTATCTTGTTGTACTTGTTTCGAATACCTTGTAGTCTTGCCTGAACCATCTTTGCCACCATCCATAATAAGCAGACCGCTAGTGCCTTTCCAACCCACTCCCTACATCACCAAAACAATAAATGTTTATGATATTTAAGAATTAATCATAAATCCAAGCTGTTATTGGCCCCCAACCCAAGCTCAATATCTCAAGCACGATGCATTTTAATGATGTCGAATAAAATTATTCATGAAACAACGCACTTGTAGACGATCAGTAGAGACGTGGCAATCACGATGACGGTGGTTGCTGGTTTTTGCCACGTAAGGACTTCTTCAAACCATGGTAAAACATTTTTAAGTGGCTTCAGCAGCTCCTACGCAACCACCAAATCAAGTGAGCAAAAACATTAAGGGCATTAATTGTCTGCTCAAAGACAAGCAAGTATTTCATACAAAAAGCCGATAAGCTGGTGAAACTGAAATATTTATTGCCAACCGTTGCTTTTTCTTTGTCAAATAGCATTATTGAGATTCCTAAAAATTTATCCAGACCAATGACAACGTGCCAAATTGTGATCATAAGGCAGATATTGTCATCATCATGCTAAAATGGGGATAACTGTGTAATTCATTTGTTTCAGTTCTTGTGTGAAATGACAACAATGTGCTGTATAACATGCTGCAATCTACTACATTGTTGACCGCAGAATGAAGTTTTGTATACAGAAACTGTTTTTTGAAAAGCAATAAAAAACTAGCTTGGCTAAAATACATCCCAAAAAAATGTTTTTGAATTTTCAAAAATCATTTTTGCACAAAAAACAAAAACAATATGAAATTATTAAGTGTTTTGGAATATTTCATTATTTTTTCACCAAATTAGTTTTTGATGTTTTTCAGAAAACAAATTCTGAAACGAGACCGAACAGAATGAAAAAGACATAATTAAAATTATTTTCCCCATCATCTTACCATGAGAACAAGAACACTCTCACTCACTCCGTCCTCTTTTAGCCCCTCGGTTGTAGCTTTGGCAGCTACAACTTCTTTTGCTTCCTGTCTGACTTGATCGATAGTACTCTCCAACGATGAGAGATTTTCAGCTTGGCCGCTCACACTTATCCTTTCTCCGACTGCATCTGCTACCTCTAGATTCGAGACAACCAGTTGGGACACATTCGTACACCTTAAAATTGAGCTGGCGCTACACGGGTGCACACTATCAACTTTCTTCAAACTCTCTGCAAGCTCTTCCAGTACATAGTCCCCCTTAGGCAACTCATCGAACAACGCGAAAATCAAGAAACTTTTGGGATTGGGAGGAGATATTCTTAGCATTTCTCTAGCTGCATGGAGCCTAATAATCCCGAAAATGGTCCTTGCATGCATCTCCCATGCTTGCGTGGGCAATTTCACGTTGTATTTTGACAAAAATTGGTGCAATAAAATAAACTCCTTGATGAGAGCAAGCCAATGGTCACGTCTTGTGGAGCTTGTTACTTCTGGGAATTCCAGCACAACTGGATCTTTCCTGCAAATTTTCAAGCACACATCAGATTTTTTCAATAATTTTCACTGCACACTAAAGTAACATAACTATCTACTAGATTTTCCAATTCATTCACAATATAAGATTTATCTTTAAATTCTAAGACAATATCTGCACAATATATAATCAAGCTGTTGATGTGGACAACTTCAAACCAGATAACACATGTTCCCCTACAACATCAATGTAGCAAATCTTCGTGGTGTCGAGCATGCATTACCATGTTCAAGTGTCGTCACCCTTGCTCCATATAACTATAAGAAAAGTGATTTACAAACAGAATTTGTAAACATAAAGAACATCCATAATGATGTGGCAGTGACATAGCTGTAATTATGAGCCATAGTGGTGGTTATTTTGGGTAGAAATGAAAGGACTATAAAAGATCATGTCATTCTGTATGAAATTTCTATACAGAAATTTTGTTTGTGTAGCATTACCCTATATAAGAGAAATACTAAGTTTTTGTCCAAGTACATATTCAATGAATTAAGTAATTTCATTGATATTATAATAACACCAATTATTCTGTCTATAAATAAGTAGGTATGCTTACAACTCAGCAGACTCATAGACTATGGCCTTGTCGAAAAGGGGAGCACCCCATGGGCCTGTAGCTGCTGGCTTCACTCTCTGTTCAATGTCCTTTGAAAGATCAAGTTTGAGCGCATCTTCATATGATACGACTCCCGAGGCCTCAAAGTAGAGAGCATAATTGGTTAGCGTGAGTCTACCTAGAAATTCCACATTCAATTTAAGTATAGCCCAAATAACAATTGTTGGAATAAATAAATGATAAAATTACATTCTATTGGAATCCTTGATCATGTAAAAATTGACCGAAGAATTAGATAGTAAGACGAACCAGGCCAACTTGTTCCTCCAATATGCCGTATTACCCTCTGTGTGCTTGCTGTTCCCTCGACGTGCAGTATAAACTCATCATCTGCTAGTTCCACGCCTTTCGGTTTTGCTTGCTTTTGTAAATGTTTCATGCATCTGATCAAAATATTCAATGGAGGAAATTAACACAACTTATTGCAAAATACACACAAAACACATAGGCATATTGTTTTAACGAGCACTGCAATCTGATTCCTTCAAGGCAATGAAGGTAACGGGCGGATTTGTTTCATCTGAGACCTGAATGTCTTGATCTTCATTTATTGAACTGCCATGACACATTACCTAAATGGTAAACTTATGGAGACTATCTTTTTTTAGCCATCCATTGACAGAGAGAAGGACAGGGAGGGAGAGAAGAAAAGGAATTGATATGCACACTACATTGTCATACAATAAAGCGGTGTTTGGATAAAGGATTTGAGGAGGGATTTGTGGAGGGAAAGGAAAATAAATGTGAATGCAATCCTTTCCCTCTACAAGTCCCTCCTCAATTCCTTAATCCAAACACAACCTACATGTAAGAAGCCACTAGTTGTTTCATTCTATCTAGAGGCAGCATTCATTCATCCAAGGTTGAATCATCCAAGTAATTGTCACCAACTTTAGATAAAGAGGATTGGATGCGAGAAAAAGTTGGGATCTAGCATAATATTTTACATCAAGCCAATTCATTCCACTAAATTCTAGTTGATACAAACCTCAAATTTGGGCTTAAAACTGTCGCTGTTTTTTGTTTTTTGGGTTAGCTGCTAAATCTTTACCCTCCTAACTAACCTGAAACCATCTCTTTTTTCATTTATGTTTTCTTTTGAGGCCATCGCTATTTTATTTACTGAATGTATAGGAGGTCATTTACTCAGCATTTTAAATGGCAAGTAGGCTTGTTTTTACGTAAAAAGCAATAGAGCAAAAATAGATTGGGATAATAGTTACTTGTCGATTTCTTTCAAGTATTTGTCATAAGCAGGGAAGTAGAGTCGGTAAGCTGTGCTTGCGGTCAGAGCTTCGAAAGTAAATTTCCCATTAACCATGTCAACAACTAACGGAACCAGTGTTCCCAACCACACAAACGCATCTTCTCTTACGCTTGGCCCATCATCAACCTACCAATTATACAACACACCAGTTGTTCGTACAAACAAAAAGAAAAAAAAATTCCGAGTCATAATGATGGATATTAAAAAAATTCATGTTATGAAATGGAATTGTCTTCAATATCCATATTCTATACAATATATCATTCTGTATGAATCTTACTTGTTTTTGTAAGGTAGTTTTTGGAGCAAAGGCTAATATTCAGTCAAAATATTGGTCTCTCCAATGTAGGGACAGATGATAATGATGACAGGAACTTACAAGGAGCGGCATGAGGTCTGAATAAAAAAGTGGGATATCATCTTGTTCCGGAATTGCTTGTGTTGGTATCCTCTTTTCCTCTTTCTCCTTTGCGACACTCTCCTTGAAACAATAAGTTTTTTTTTTGATAAGTGACAAATAAGTTTGGTACAAAATTTAAAGAGAAACTAACTTGAACTTGTTATGCAGAAATTTAAGTACAGATCCAGAGTGAAACAAAAACAATAGAACTCCAAATGGAGGCAATCAAATTGCTGATATCTAAAACACTTTCACTGACATACAAACAAACGGGGCTTAAAATTCCATATCTCACATTTCTAGAAACATATAAATGAGTTCAATCCAACCAACACCTTAGACACCTTTGCTGAAAATACAATTAAATGTGTCATCAAACCTTGTAATGAGTCTCTTACCAACTCAGTGCTCAGTCTCTAAGTAATGAGTATCGTACAAAGTAAATGTTAATTTGTTATTCTTTCTTCCAAGTCACAATAATCTATCAACTAATAACGACTATCAAAATCCCCTTTCACACCTTACATTGTAATGCCTTTTTCCTTGAGCTCAATAATTATCATCTAACACTTGCAGCGTAGATGAGGCCACCAATTTCGTAGAACCAAAAATTGTGATATGTGATACACAATTTAATTTATTGTTGAATTCATCTCTAAAATTGAACTGCATGCACGAAGCACTCATCTTGACTGTTTCAACTCTAAATCCTACTACCACTGTCTTACAAATTCATAACTTGGGGTGAATTACTGTTCTTGAAGTTTGCATGATTCCTAATCCATTGCAATTAAACAAGTAAACAATACTTTCACAAGTGACTTGAAAAAGAACAAAACATTCAAAATGCACAACTGCTCTCTCCAAATTAGCCTGTCATGATCAACCAACTTATACTGTGAAAATTCAGTCTAATCTAATTTGACAAAGTTACTTGAAGATGCACATTGTCACGCACCATATATGACTCTTCATCTGTAGAACTAGGCATCTCCCAAGCGAGCATCATATCAAATGTGAACCGGCTGAACGTCTCATTATTAATCAATTCTGCTATGTGGCAACACACGCTACGAAGTGCCTTCGAGCAGCAGAACTCGACTAATTTCCTTGAATATTTGCACATTTCTGGCTTCCATGATGCCTCGAATTCTTCCACCAATGCATCAACCGAAGTATCTAACTCCCTGAAACAATTAGATTTTCTCAAGAAAGTTGTGTTATGGTTAGGATAAAAATTTGTAAATCAAAAAATTGAGGATGTCTATTGCCTAAGTTATTTAACTAGGCAATATGTTGTGTCAAAACAATAGGGTTCTTCAAGTATGCCATCTTGAAATAACATAAATTCATACATGCTATTCTAGACACCCATGCCGGGAAGAAATTATCACGAGTCTGACATACCACGCGACTGTGTGCCTATCTACTTTTCTTATTTTTTGAACTATGTTAGCATTTGGCTCATGGTGAATGTGAATCGTTGAATTGTAGCGAAAAAAAAATGTGAATCGTTGAACGCATGCTATACAAACATAATTTCTAAGGGCATAGGCTTTTTCTTTCATTTCTAGTCAAAAAACACATCTATGCTACATCATATGTACAAACTATGTTAGCATTTGGCTCATGGTGAATGTGAATCGTTGAATTGTAGCGAAAAAAAAAATGTGAATCGTTGAACGCATGCTATACAAACATAATTTCTAAGGCCATAGGCTTTTTCTTTCATTTCTAGTCAAAAAACACATCTATGCTACATCATATGTACAAAAAATCATGTTCATAAATCACATTCCCGAACTGTTTATACAGTGAGACTCGAGACGAAAAAAAATTCAAATACAATGGTGATACACATCATCACCATCCAACAAGCTCGTCATATACCCTCCGATATATATGTGGAGGGATAGTTATATACAAAAAGTGGGGTTCACTTTTATTATTGATTGCCGAGTGAGTCATCAGTATCACTGTCACATTGAAATTGAATTTGAATTTTTACTTGAGACGTAGACCCAGTGCTTTAATGTTGGGTATAACTGTTACATTGAATTTTAATGTTGGTGACGTGTCAATTGGCAATTGGTGTAGAGCCAACCAATATTTCAGACAATAACACATAACAAAAATGCTTGGACCTCCAAAGTTGGGATCCCATGACCCTAAAATGACGTGGACCAATCATGTATTTTTATGTTTACTTTTTTTTCTTCCCTTTTTGAACCAATCACGGGTGAGTAGGCTTGTGTTTTTTAGGATCTGTAACATTGTTCATGTCTTCTAATTTTTAGGACTAACCTCAATTCTCTCCCTATTGAGCATACGCTACCCAATCTCATTTATAATTTGAAATCGCGTCAATATGGATTTAAACAGGACCTAAATTAAAAATAAGAAAATCAAAGAAAACAAATATGAAAAGTAAAATGGAGAATCCGCTAGTCTCTTAGAACAATTCTTGTTTGGCTCTTCTAGATAGGCCCCGATTAGTCTAGCTGCGCGTAAACTGGCCGGACACGGGTAATTTTTTTTTTCTTCTTTCTTGTTTGGCTCTTCTAGATCACTTTCAAAACCCATTGAAAGCTAGGAATTATTATGAATGAAGAACATACACAGAGAGAGAGAGAGAGAGAGAGAGAGAGAGAGAGTACGTACAGGGCACATCTGTGAAGGACGTCGTTGGCAATGGCTGAGAGATGCTTTCTCTTCATCATTATTGTGAGTATTTTTTAATGTGATGTGAATTGCGGTTTGATTTTCACAATCTAAATGAAAATGCAAAATCAGAGCTCATTCTTTTATACTGAACAAAACAGGCTTGTGAGGTGCTTGTTTCAGAGCTTGCCAGGTGTAAGCCATGCAAAAAACTAGGTCCATGCCACGAGCAACCGCTATCTCCCTTCTTACTCGTATTTTTTTTTAAAATACTGTTTCTCTCTTTTGATTATCACTGGGCAGTCTTGAACAATAGTCTATCTGAAAGCATTTTTTACTGGATTGCAGTTCATTTTTTTCCTAGGGTTATAAATTTTGAATGAACCGCTTAGGATTGATATGGACCGGAGGGAATTCTCCCCCTTACAAAAAATCTTAACAAAATAAATATTAAATTTTTTATTTTATCAATTTAAATTTAAAATTTTTGATTTATTTTTAATTTAAATTATTAGTTTATTTTTGTTTAACAAAAAATAATGTTTTAATAATTACATTCAACAAATTTTTTTTTTTTAAAATATTTTATATATATATATACCTTAAAAATTTAGAATTTATTTTGCTATGAGAGTCAAATCTTGAGTTTTTTATTTTTTTTTAAAAACATTTATTTTATGGGGATTTAGATTTGTGTTAGAGGTATGAGTTGCATATAATAAAATATTTTTATGTCACATGTTAATATGTCATGTTTTGCTTAATTTTGAATATAATTTAATTTTAAAGTAACTTAGATTTAAGTGAATTTTTTGTTTTGTTTTGTTTTGTTTTGTTTGGGTTTTTATGTAGTCTTAGACAAAATAGGAATTCAATCCCATGTTTCATTGAGATCTGAGAGGAGATAATAACTAAAGGATTTAGTTGGATCAAAATTGATGGAACTTATTATGATCTGTGAAATCAGTCAAAATATAGGTCTAAGATATAAATTTTCAAACTGAAACAAGGAAAATGTATCAAATTAATGGGGAAATCTTGCCAAAAAATGATAGCTGTATATGAGTTCAAATTTCTATATATTAAAAACAGGTTGTCTTTTACATCCAGATACTTGGTTGGACTTGGACTGGTTATTCCAAAGCCCTTTTGGTGGTTTTGATATGCTATTAATTCATAGATGGATAGATGTATGTATGAAACAAGAGGTGGTGATCTTCCCTGCTACATCTCACTAGATATTTGATTGTGATCCGTTTCAGAATATCTATTACTACATCCATTGATACGTATGATGTGAGCATCAAGTACATGGATGTTAGTTCCATCCATGCTGATGAGCTATGGGGCTGTTTGAAGGGGATCAAAGCTTTGAACCTGAGAAGAATCATCAAACTAGTTTATATTTTTTCCCAAAAAAAAAAGAAAAAAAAAAAGATATTTTAAAAGAAAACTCAACAGAATTTTGCACATTTTGTGTCAAAATCTGAAACTTTAAAGTGAAGCTATTATAAGCGGGTTAACGGGTTGAAATGTGAGGATATGGTTCTTAAAGGCTCACACTTGAGAAATTTTTCTAGTCATAAGCCTAATGGTCATTAAACCACTAACTAATGTAGATATGTAACCATAAATCAGAAGTCCACAAGTCATTGAATTTTTTTTATTTTTTTTAGTACATCAAACCATTTGGTCCTAGTGAGTTTTTGGATTTGTAGCCTTTCGATTATTTAAGAATTCAATGACTTAGCCATCGGTGTAGTTGAGCATTAAGAACTTGATAACTCTTCAATCTGTCTACCTGAACTGAGCTTCATGTTACATGAAGGTGCAGCTTGAAAGTGATTCTATTTTAAAGGTACAGTTGTGCTAGTCCAATTATGAATTGAGATCAAAATGCATGAGTATAGCCGTTTTAAAATTGAACTTCAGGATGAATTGATGAGCAATGAGTGACTATTCTTTGAAATTTAGGATTGATGAACCCTTTTCCCCTTTTTCTTTCAATGTGGAAAACAACTTTGGTCTCTCTATTTGTTATTGAACTTAAAAGTGCCACTATATGGTTGCGATTGTTATATGCTTATGCTCTTTTGGCCTCTCTATTAGAGGTTGAATCAATAAACAATGTGTTAATATGTTTGCCCTTGTGTTTGGAGGGTGTGGTCTGAATATGTCTATTGATGACTGCTTGGGTGTATTTTATTTGTTTCCTTATCGTGTATCCATGATTGGGGGCTGTTAGGATGACGTGAGAGCAACAGGGTGCCAAATAGTAATATTCTTGGAAAAAGTGTAACAAATCCCACCGAGCGAAATAATTAATGTTCTTCTTGACTACATATTGATATTCTACAAATAATATTGCCTTCTATTGGATTAACTTAAATAAATTAAAGAAATGTTGCCAAATTCTATAAAGTCTTGGCAATATTTGCAACTAAATGTTGTTAATCAAGAAACCATCTTCAATGCATCTTTACTATAAAGTATAATTTTCAAATACTTATGGTCAAATGAAACAAACTAAGGCATCAATTAGCACTCCAAGCTTAAATAGGTGACATGAAACATCTCCTTTTAAACTGTGATATTTCTTGATACACTAGCTTTTTTCTAGCTAATAACGTATGATGTTTCTAGCTAAAATGAAGAAATATGTTGGCAGGTGTGAGCAGGAAGATATTAGTAGCATCAGCTAGGGCTCACACCAGAATACCAAAGCAGAGCACTCCTTTTCAACTTTCTTCAGGTGGGTTTTCTTCATTTGCAATTATAATTTGGTCTACATATAGTATCTATGTATGGATCAATTCAAATATACAATGAAATACGATTATGTATATGCCTATAGGTAGCAAACATTAATGCTTGGATGTTATTTTTATGTATCAGATGAGCACTTTGGAAATCAATTTCCAGTAATTTATGGGGAAATTGTGATTTTTCCTTTTGGTTTAATTTGAAATTGGCACTTTGAACAAATGAGTATGGGCTTCAAACTTATATGTGTACTCACTAATCAGTATGCTTGTGGACTTATATAAGTTCTTTTCACAAACTTTTTTGTTCTCAAATATTTTCTTTTGACAAAACTAGTAACAAATATAATTTTCTTAAAGTTCCTTGCTACTGTGATATGAACCATAATTTTAAGTATTCTTCTTTTGTCTCAAATTTCATTCTTGATGGAGATTTAAAATATTTGCATTTGTAATGGCTGTTACGAGTGTTTTCTCTGTTTTTGTCATGCATTTGTTGTTTCCTGACTACCTTTCGTCATTCAATTCACTGTTTAATAAATTATGTTTTTTTCACTGTGGCTTGGTTTTAGAGAAAGTCTAACAGCTTCATTGGTTGTTTCCTTGAAATCAACATTTGTCTTTGGAGGGACATTCATCATAATCTTTATCCTCTTTGTTATGGTTTCTGGTAACTAGTAGTTTCATGATTTGTTTTCTGATATCTTTTTATTTAATTTCTAGGTGTACATTAAAATGTTGATTTTCCCCTCCATTGTTGAACTATTGATCATGTCTTTTTATTTTATTTTATTTTATTTGTTTTTATTTTTTATTTTTTTTTTAAAATTCATTCTCATTAGTTATCAGAGACAAAGTGAATTCATGGTAGCTCGTGTTTATTGGATTTTATTGTGCTAATTTTGTAAACCATAGCGTTATACTTATGGAATTTACTTTTCTTATGAACAGGTACCTGAGGATCCGAGCGATTATTTGAACATATGTATAAGTCATGCTTTTGCTCGTGACATTTTATATGTATGATGTCATGACAAGAAAGACGTATGGACAATTTCAATATTTTGGTTTTTTGACCTGACTGGGAGATAAAGAATGCAAGTGCAACTAGTGTTGTGTTTTGTGAAGGGTTGGCACCCTCTTTGTAAGGGGTTCAATTTTGGCTTTTGTTGGGAGTGAGTTTTTGATTTTTGAATATTCAAAAGGGATACGTACGGACCAGATTTTTTAATGTGGCAGCTGAATATCTGAATTGTGAACTTAATTGTATGTCTAATATTTTCTTGGTGAGTTGCGTATTAACTACTTTATAAATGTTTGTATATCAATTATTTTATTGAAATGAATGAAATTTGTCTCAAATTCTTCTGAGTGTTTAAATATTACATTTTTTGGGTGTTCATGTGATTTAATTTTTTTGATGATTTCAAATTTTATTTTTTTGTGAAGAAGATAATTAGATTTTGTGTGTATGGATAATATTGGATGAAGACCCACAATTGATTAATCTACATTTGCAATTTGGGTGGTCTTTTGTGCTCAATTAATTACCATACTTGAACAATTTGGTTGGATGCTATTTTAAAATTGATTGTGTAATCGATTCAAAGTGAATTTGTTTGGCATTGGACATATATTATAAATGCACAATCTATTGTGGGTAAATATGTATGATTTGAAGTTGGTTGATATTGATCCATGATCCATTGTCCAATCGATTGGCCTATAATCTTGTAATATGAATTCTTTTGTAATCAATTGATTTTGCAATCGATTGGGAGTGAAATTATAAGAACATTTGCTTACCAATCAATTGTGCAATTAAAAGAGAATTATCTGATGAGTACTCGGGAGTTAAAAAACAAAAAAAATCTAATAGGTACTTGACAATTTCATAACCAATCGATTAGGAGTGAAATTGTAAAACATTTGATCACCAATCAATTGTGCAATTGAATGAAAATCAATATAGGTAATTCACAATTTCGTAACCAATCGATTGGGAGTACAATTGTAAGTCATTTCATCACCAATCAATTATGTAATTGAATGAGAATGAATCAGATAAGTACTTGACAATTCCACATACAAAGATTTTTTTACAATAGCTTGACTTGCACGTGTTGCAGCATATATTCTTTTGCAGTTTAATCAATCTAGATTGGCATGCAAATATCAACAACCTAGACATATATAGTTGGTACCCAAATATCATATACATAGATTGGCATCCAAAATTAAATTACAATTTGGACATAGATCAACTTGAACATAGACGGATTAGCGAAATCAAATTTACATAATCCAAATAGAAATCATCCAAGTGTACATTCATCACACATAAAAACCATCCAAATTACATCAACCAAATATTGTTTACAAACCAATTTTAAATCATACATTACTCTAATTGTTAAAAAAAAATGTCACATTTTGTGTTCGGGGGTCAACCATTCATGTCCATTTCTCCCTACTATAGGAACCTCACATGTAAATTACTAGAAATCAAAGGAGACTAACATAGAGATTCCCCCCCCCTCCCCCCCAAAAAATAAAAAATAAAAAATAAAATTGGATTTATAGAATTGTCCACAAAAAGAAAATATGGAATGCTTCCAAGCATAATGATCTTAAGATAGAGTTGAATCTCCTAAAGCCAACTACTAGTGTTTGAACAGAATCATCTATAATTGACATAACTCCTGCAATAAATGGATAACAAAATGTAAGAACATTTAAATGCAATGGAAGAACATTTAAATGGATAACAATTACTATAAACAAAAAGTTTAAATAAATGAAAAACAGGTACCTCATTTGTAACAAAAGCAAACTTTTCATTGGCAATTTCCTCACAGCATACACCATAACCCTATGTATATAACGTTGGTCTAATTATACAGTTCTAGTTATAGCAAAATTGGGATGAAGTAAGAAATGCAATTCTAAAATAAAATATTTTAGGTTTTTAGCTAATATAATCTTCAAAAATATATGCCAACTTCCCACTTTTAGCGACACTAATACTTGTTGCAAATTCACCTATGCAAAATTCAAATCACATTCATTCAACCTTCAAATTTAATTAACAAATAAAAACCATCAACTAATCCAAAATATAAACCAAATACATTCAACAAAACCAATTTCTAATCCATTCAACAAAACATATCTAAATATCTAAAAAAAATCAAAACATTTCAACCGAATTATTCAAACAAAATATAAATGTCAAAATACAAGTGTTTGATTGCAGATTACTATTCAATAATCTATATCAAAATATATCTTGTTCCATGTGCCCATCTCCATCATATATCTGTAAAAGAATAAATATAAGAAAAAACAAAGGATATTTAACATAACATCCCTCTCCAACTTTTAGTAATGGGAGAGGTCTACAATATATTTTTTTGTAGCCTAAGGTCCCTCACCTACAATCATATATCACACCCACTCTCTCATTCTCTCTCCTCTCTCTTGTCTCTCTTCCTCTCCCCTCCTCATCAACACCCATACCCATACCCATCGAAATTGTTGTTGAGGCGGGTGACAATGGCCAACCCCAACACCGACGACAGCAGTACCATTGACAGTGAGCTTGTGCTGTCCTCGCTTACGGCCATCGCACCTATCCTCCGTATTTCCAATGAGGTCAAAAAGGACAACCCTAGGGTTGCTTATATTTGTTTGAAAGTCCAAGCCTGCTTTTACTCTCTATCTCTTTGTTTGTCTTTGTTGATTTTGCTTTTGCTTTTTTAAGTGAATGTTGTTGTTAATCACATCAATGTACTTGGTGGTGATTCCAATGATATTTATGATATTTTGGAAAGTTTAGTTAAGTGTATTTGGCTGTAGAAATTGAATTGTTTTATTTTATTTCAAAACACAAAGAAATTTCTATTCAGACAAATTTCAAAACACAGAAAATCAGAGAAATTGAGCAAATTAGAGAAATTGATACGACACATGCATAGTAGTGCTCATGCTGATTAAAGTAGAACACACTTGAAGGCCTTTCCACTCTTTCACCAGATGGTCCAGCATCTAAAGCTGGTGTGGCTGCTGCTTGCTAAGGTAGACACGAGCAGTAGACTTAACACATACATAGAATATGAAGTCAAACATTACAACATATACAAGCACTGACCCATTGTCTTGAACTGCCACCAATCTGAGGGGTACTTCAAAATTGTCCAATCAAATACATAAATTGATAGCATGCACAAGTATATCAAGGAATTAAATTTTAGGACAACACTCTTAAAGAATATCAATAAATGAAACAACCGATACAATTCCTCGTCTGTGATATATGAATTTGCCTCCTTGGTTTTCAAATTTCAATCCGATTTCCAATCCATTCAATTTAAAATGTTAGTAATCTGAAGACATTGAAAATGTCCAACAAATTAATTGAAATGCATTTTTTTTTCTCTTTAATCAAAGTTCATTAATTCTCTGGTAAGGCACATAGTTTAAACTAAGTATTGAAATATTAGTTGATAACTTATTTAGTAGCTTATTTTTATTATAAAAAAATAATAAAAAGATGATTTAGTGTTAATCATTATTGCCTTTGTTGATTGATTCCTAAAACAGTCAAGGCATCTCTGGCAATTGTTTATTAGTAAATCTCAACAATCAGAATTCCAATTTACCTAATAATGAAAATAAGTTAAGAGTTTTGCATGGAATTTAATGATGAGCCCAATGCATGCCCATTGAATTAACTTGTATAGAACTCTGAATTGGTGAAGTAGTGAAAAATCTAAAAATTCCCTAGATATTGATTTGTGATTATGTATCAATTTTAATCAGTAAATATCAATCCCAATCAAACAATCAAAGACAAATTGACACAACGATTTTACGTGAAAAAATCACAATTGGAGCACCTCCAATTGTGATAAAAAAAACCACGAGCAAAAGCCACAAAACAATCCACTAAGAAGACATAAAGGAATTACACAATTGTACTCTCAATTACCTAGCGAATCCATGCCCGAATCGAACAGACCTCTATATGCCTCTTCCAGCCCTATCTTCACCTCGGAATTGTCTTGCCCAACGTTGAATCCACAACGCCGATGTCGAATCCATGACGATGAACCACTCCGGAATCTACCAAAGCTTTAGGCTCAAATTCCACGGAATCCACCGAAGAACAACTCTCTCTTTTGTATTGAATAAATAAAACAAACAAACCCTTTGATATAATCCACTCAATTCATGATTTAAACTCTCACAGATATCAAAGGAAATAAGCAAAGAAGCTCCAGATAAAAACCCTAATACTCAAGAAGAAGATCTGGAAAACGTCCCATAAAACCTGACTGAACTGCACCTTTTATAGCAAATAGATCCGCGATCTCCACTCGAGCGCAAGAATGGCCGCTCGAGTAGACTGACTGAAACGTGTGTTCAGAACGAGGGTCTACGCACGAGTGTGGGAATGGCCACTCGAGCAGGAAAAAACAACTCCCAGTACTTTTGCAGGCGAGTGAAACTTCTGAAAGGTCGCAATCTTCGCTCGAGCGCAGGCATGACTGTTCGAGCGGAAAAACAACTTCTATTGCTATTTTGCTTTTTGCTTTGGGGCGCTGTCCATCGACCCCGCCTAGGCACTGCCCCAGACCCGCCAAGGGGAGCTGCCCCCTGGACCCCCACGAGCTGACCGAGAAGCTCGATCCCCGACATAGTCAGCGAAGTGGCAAACATGAAAAAATTAACATCACAAACTTCTCTGCAAGGGCACAATTCGGGTTGGATTCGCATCTAAAACTCATAGCCTCACTGAAATAAAAGATCGAATAAAATTACAACTAAAATGAGTTTTGTCAAACGGGATTGCCAATAATAAAAACCTAACAAGTAGGAACTGCAGAAAGTATAGAAATGAAAGCGGAGACTCCTCTTAACCAATTCCTACATTGCCAAAGTATTTGCATCTCATAACAACTTACTTTTTTTGCAATAAAAACAATGATAGCGGTAATGTTAATAATAATGACAACAACAGCAATAACAAATCATCATAATAATAACAAATGAAACATAGCCCACTCACTTCATTCCAGAAGATCAAGAAAATTGATACTAGCTTTGGGATCAACACTTAAAGCAATATTTTGAAACTAGAACCCACTTAGTAGTTGGACAACCCAGAGGATAAACAACAAAGCTTCTACACATTGAAAATCTCTAAGCCATTTTCCCCAAAATTTTATTTCTACTTTCCTTTCTCTATGTTATCTCAAAGAGCAAATTAATCATTAT